TATTGCTTATTTCTTTGGATCCCTTTCATTTTCTCTATTGATGTCTTTTTGCCTATTTCATTATAATATTATTTTCAGTACATAAACTTAGCTTTCCTTACGGTCCTCCTTACCTTACTGAGTAACTTATAAATCCAAGTTTGACTGGATTTGGTAGTACCTCACAATCAAATCTAAGTTTAATTGAAAGACTATTCTATTCCCTTCTCTAGTCATAAACAGGCTCTTCTTTTTGCTCTTCGTTATGACAAACTGTAGGGTCCAGCCAGTCGGTCCAATGACGGTATCCAATGGTGGATGAAGGTTTACTGCATGTTCGGTCTTTCCAGTGCACAAAGTTGATTTATATTAAACTTGACTCATATCTGACTCGAATTTTAGTATGAGGTGGTTTAGAATATTAATATATTTATCCTCGTTTTATTTGACTCCAATTATAAAACATTAAGAAGGTTATTTTGTTTCCGTTCACATTATTTTAGATTATGATTGAATATTCTTTTCAGTTCATCATTTTATGTTATTCTCGTTCATTGGGATTCCTATAACATCCTGAATCTTGTACTGGCCGAGTATACAATTTCTTAAGCACAAGCATGTCAGTCTTGGTCACTAAACAGTGGCGATTGATTAATTATCCTAAACCGGCAGAACCCTACTTACCTAGATTAGGATATTTTTATGCGGTCCCCATAGATCTGCTACCTCCTAAATGAAACAGAGCTATTTAGTCATATAATGATCATTACTATAAAATTAAGCAGACCAGTCATACTTAAACTATTAGTAACTTTGAATAATCACTATACTATCTAAATAGTATTATAAGTTTATCGGGTGAAGGACTATCCCCTTAGATAACCTTTTACAGTCTAAGTATACATGAATTAATGCCAATGTGTTAGTCGGAGCTCTAGAGACATCGTATAGCGTGCCGCAATGCTCCGTCTACCGTGTTCTAGTCCGCTACTAACCTGTACAGGGGCTTGTGGTGCTATGAAATTACCACAATCTACTAGAGATAATAACACGAACTCTGTTTGAATGATTCAAAACATAACATTTTATTGGTCAGGTAAGTGTATTATGCTAATTTAATCAGTCAATTCATAAATGATCAATTCAACACATCAAATTATCAAAGACAAATCCAAGATGAAAAGATGCATACCTGACTTCAAATTATAGCTACATAACGTGGAGCGTAAGCTTCATGTTACAGGCTGATCTGGTCAAGCAGAATCGCCCAGAGCCTTTCTCAATCCTTACCTTAAGTAATCCAAAAATTCCCTCAAGGAAAGGGGTGTGTGCATAACAAAAGGCATTCACATTTGGTGCTGCCTGTGGAAAAGTCACACTCTTCACAGTGGTTCAAAAGATGCCTGAAATTATATATTTATTGTTTTGATTATGTCTATTTCTGAGAGAATGAGACCATTGTACCAGTCGCACTGAGACATTTCAAATGATATCAAACATGATAGATAAAGTCACTTTGGTTAATCTAGAACATTCAAACAATGAAATGACCATATGTGTGAGTTAGGGTGGTTGAAGCCGAGTTTCAGCAGACTTAGATGCAAATGCAGCAGGAACTGTTTTTTCCCGCATTCCCACCTGCTGGGTTGTGGTCAACAGTCTCTGTTTTTAGCTCATGTTTTGAATTGTCAAAGACATCAAAAATATTTGTAATATTTCAATTCTTACAAAACTATCATCAAATCTCCGCTTTTTAATACTCTTGCAAGCCTAATCTCTCCAGATAACTTCCTCAGTCATTTAGTTAACATAATCACACTTACTTTTTGTATGCCATCTTCCTATTTAAATTTAAATATTACCTTTAACACATCTACACCCCCTTTTCCTAACTCCTGTTCATTTCCATCCTCTTACAAACTTCTTACCTCTTTCCTGATGTTTTTTCTTTCTTTTTTTGTACTAACAGCTTCCCACCTATCTCTGTTACAATTTTCTCCTGTTTCCCCTATATACGTTTGAATATCTTTCCTATCTGTCTCATCAGAAGTTTCTATTGTCTCTGGTTCATTTTCATTACCATCTGTTCTACATTTTGTCATTATTTATTGTACTCTATTGCCTGCTATTACTTTCCCGTGTGAACGTAACTCCAGAACAACTAGTGCATCACTTCCGGCCGGTCGTCCTCCACCACCTTTCTCTGGGCCAAGTTATCTGATTTACACTCCTAATTCCTTTTGAGGGTCCCTCAAAAATTTAAGGCCACACTGCACTTTTCTTATTTGTGTTTTTTATTGGTTAGTTGCCGCTTTTAATGTGCATATCTGCCACCTACTGTGCTGGAGTGTGAGCCAGAAATTTAAATCTCATATTAAAGAGGGGAAAAAACTTCTAATAATACATTCCCTTATCAATTAAAATAATTTTCATTAACCCAGTTTCTTTAAAAAATGAGAACAAAGCTTTAAATACCTGGTCTACCACTTTAAATAGATTTTAAGGTATAATGTTTTATCTATACTTTTGATTCATCTTTTAATTTTATCCTTTGTTTCATAGTTTAACTGCTTGATCTATGTTGCGATTAGCGATTACTGCTGAAAGATACTGTTAATGGTTGATTAAGAGGGAGCAGTGGGGAGATGAAAGTTCCATTAAAAGGGTTTTTTTTTTGGCAAAAAAAAATTCTGGTAGCTACGCCAGTGGGGCTTATACAAAGGACATTAAGGGCCTAGTCACACTATGCTATCCGTGTAATGTGAGTACAGGCCATCAGGGGAGACGGGAGGGGGGACAATCGTGCTTTGGCCTGGTTCAAGGCAACTGTATAGTGTGAATACACCCTAAATGGTGGGACAGAGAAGGGACAAATCTCTTTTTTTTAATTAGTTGGTTTACAACTTCAGGTGGCGACGCGGTGGTGCAGTAGGTAGTGTTGTCGATTTACAGCAAGAAGGTCGCTGGTTCGAGCATAGGCTGGGTCAGTTGACATTTCTTTGTGGAGTTTGCATGTTCTGTGTTCGCGTGGGTTTCCTTACTTCGGGTGCTCTGGTTTCCCCCACAGTCCAAAGACATACGGTACAGGTGAATTTGGTAGGCTAAATTGTCCATAGTGTATGAGTGTGTATGGATGTTTCCCAGAGATGGGTTACAGCTGGAGGGGTATCAGCTGCGTAAAACGTGCTGGATAAGTTAACGGTTCATCAGTTGGGAGTTGAGCTAGAGTAGGGAGCTGGAGGCCAAGTGAAGGGGGTGGTAAAAGGTTGGTCAGTGTGTGGTAGAGAAGGGTCATTGTCCAGGGGAATGCCCATTTGTTGTAGTGATGTTGAGGCTGGGGTGTTTCTGGTTTCTTGAAGGCGTGATCTAGATAATTTTTGGCTGTGGGCAATGCTTTTCCTTGTGGCTTTTTTTGGGTGGTCCAGGTTGAGATTTTTGTTGTAGAGTTGGTGATTTGAGGATAGGCAGAGGTGGGTAGAGTATCCAAAATCTATACTCAAGTAAAAGTACAAGTACTTGCAGAAAGTTATACTCAAGTAAGAGTAAAAATCTTAGAAGTAAATGTAACAAAGTAAATGGGTCACACTTTACATTAAGGTTCATTAGTTAATGTTAATTGATGCATTTACTAACATGAACAAACAATGAACAATACATTTACTATTGTATTTGTTCATGTTAGTAATCGTTAATGAAAATACAGTAGTTCATTGTTAGTTCATGTTAACTCATGGTGCATTAACTAATGTTAACAAGCATGCACTTGGATGTTAATAATGCATTAGTAAATCTTCAATTATGATTAATAAATGCTGTACATGTGATGTTCATGATTAGTTCATGTTAGTAAATGCATTAACTAATGAACCTTATTGTAAAGTGTTACCAGTAAATGTAATTGTTACTACCCATCTCTGACGATCTTGTAGTGTCCATATGAAGCCCTTACTCACCTGTCAAGATATGAGGCACTATATGTAGTGTAGTACAGTTTCAGTAATTCTGCTTTGTTGCAGTGTAAAGGTATGGGGGTTTCAGCGTCTGTGAGGTTCTATGCTAACAAGCATATGAGGAAGCAGGTAGAGGTAGGTAACGGCTTGAGGTTGTTGGTGATGGTGAGATGGTTGAGAGACCAGCAGCGATCAATCATATCATAGGCTCCTCTCAAAATTTGTTTGTAAACTACACAAAGTGTTAATTTCAATAACTGTGAAATAACTGAGATGTAACTGGATAATTTCATATGGTTATTTATTTAAAAAAATTGAGAAATTAAGCCTTTGTGCAACACAAAGGGCTAATTTAGTTCTCTCTGATGTAGTTTTGATGGAAAATATAACAGGTGCAAAAAGTCTGAATGCCTGATGAATGTGAAACTAACTTTATCACAGTAATTTTCCAATGTAAATATATAAAAACCCAATTTCTAATTAATAATATGGATTGCTAAAACATAATTTTAGACAATAAATGCTATTTTCTCTATATTTAGTTTTTTTTTTTTTAAACCTTGGATACCACTTATTCAAATAGCTGTTTTGGCTAAATATTGCTCTATCCTGAAAAATGAATGAATCATTAGAAAGCTTATTCAACCAACTTTCAGATAGTACATACATCCAAATTTAAAAAAAACTGACACTTATGGTTTTGTAGTCCAGGATAACATTAGCAGCTGTATTAGTAGCTGTATTGGAACACTGTTTTGGTACAAGCTCAGTAGTTAATTACTGATCTGCATACCTTAAACATAACATGGTCTCATGGTGAAAAAAAGCATTATTTTTCCACAGGTCTGGTCTGAAGTAGGTCAGACAGATTTGGAGGTGCAAGAACGATTAATGACTTAAATGTCAGGAGTAAACAAGTACATGATTTATGTACAATAATAAAAATTTACTTTAATAATACTTAATTAAATGATTGGCTACAAAGTATATGAAAGTTATGTTTTACATTTAAGAGCATATTATAGCTTATGTTAAGTTTCATTTACTTACTAATTTATGCAATCTTGTCAGTTTCATCCCGGACAGTTTAAAAAAGAAACTGGATCAGCTGGAGTGCCACTTCACATGGGATATAAAAAAAGACGATCTAGACTTCACGAATCTCCTCAACAGACTTGAAGAACAAGACAAATTGGATCTAGGAAGTGAGGAAGGGGCTGCACGAGCGCAGTGCTCAATGGGATATCTAAAATTCCTTCTCGACTGCAAAGAAGAAGCCCTTACTCACCTGTCAAGATCTGAGGCACTCATCAAAGAAAACTTTGCAGACAACAATGACAAGGCTCTTATTGTGACCTATGGAAATTTTGCCTGGATAAACTACCACATGGAGAACTACACAGAGTGCGAACGTTACCTAAAGAAGCTTCAAAACATGTATGAGACATTTCCAATTGAGTCTTCAGCTGTTCCAGAGGTGCTTGGGGAGAAAGGATGGACTTATCTTAAATTCTCTCGTAAATATTATGACAAGGCAGCAGAAGTTTTTCAAAAAGCTGTGGAACTGGATCCAACAAATAGTGAGTGGAACGCTGGTTATGCCATCACTCTGTATCGCACTGAAACTAGTCAGCCTACTATAGATTCACCTGTGATCAAACAGCTGAGAAAGGCCATTGACCTGAACCCAGATGATGATGCTCTGAGAGTCCTTCTAGGATTTAAACTTATGAATTGTTCTAAAGAATTGATGAAAGAGTCTGAGCAGCTGGTTGAGACAGCTTTGAATCAGTCCCCAGAACATCCAGATGTCATGAGATATGTTGGAATGTACCTCAGGGATCAAGGATCTGTAGACAGTTCTATTGCCCTTCTGGAGAAAGCACTTGAAAGATCACCAAACTCAAGCTTCATATGTCATCAGTTAGCAACATGCTATGAGAAAAAAAAATTTACTTACTGACAGAAAAATGTTACAAAGCTGGAGATCATGCTCGAAATCAAAGTATATACTATTTAGAACTGGCAACTTCCCTAAAACCTTCATTTATTCTTGCAATGTGTCAGCTCAGACTTCAGTACGGAGAGAGACATGACTTGCTTAAGGCAGAGGAACAGTTTGACAAAGCATTCAAGACAGCAAAAGATAAAAATGAGCATCTGCAGTCAGTCCATTTTTATTATGCCGAGTTCCAGCAATACAGTAAAAGTCGTGAGGATTTAGCTATTAAGCATTACAAGGAGTGCTTGACAATGAATCCAGATAGTAGTGAGGGGAATAGAAGTGCAAAGAAATTGATGAAAATTGCCAACAAACATCTTAACGCTAACCCAAATGAATGGGATGCCAATGAAATACTTGCATTACTTTATCAAAAGAAAGCGGAAATGTTTGGGACACCAAGAGCTTTGCAGGATCAGGAGATGAAGGGAACGATGAATGCCTCCACAATCTTTTAGAGATCAACTGTAAAATAGAAACTTTGTACAAGGATGCATAACCTTAACCCATAATTTTGTAATAGGACCTCTGGGTTAGAGTGTACAGAAACTTGCACATGTCTGTTAACATTCAATACAATTAATCTGTACCTTTAAAGGCAAATGAATCACATTATTTGTTTTCCACTTTAATTGAAATACAGTATATATAACAAACTCGATTAATGTTACCATTTAGCAGAAAATGGCATGTTTTACTATAGAGTTTAGACCGAGGGCATGCCATCTTGAAATATTGCTGTGTCTGACGTCACGGGGTTGGTGCCATTACCTCAGCTGAATAGATACAGTGGAAGTAAAGGACTAAACACGAAGACTGCAAAGCCTAATTTAACCCAGTGCATCAAGCTGTGGACATAGAGCTTGTGCAAATACAAGCATCAGATGTGTGTCTAATATAAAAATATATTTGTTCTATGCCTGTCAGTCCATTACTTCTAATGTATCTGTTCAGCTAAGGAAACGGAGCCACCCCCGTGACGTTAGACACAGCGACATTCCAAGATGGCGGTGCCCTAGGTCTAAAAGCTATGGTAAAACATGCCATTTTCCTCATATTAATCGAGTTTGTTTAATATATTTTCATTAAAATGGAATTCAATGTACAAAACTGATATGCCTGACATTGGCTTCTGACATCAACCTGATTTTCATTTCTAAACAAAATACAATGTCCCCATGACATTGGGTTAAAACGTAATTCTAGGTCATGTTGACGTCTTGTGCCTGCTGGGTGTTAAAGGCCATTTAGGTCATCATACAGTAAACATTTGTTATCTTCTCATCAGTGACATGCATCTAACCAGTCTCTGGGTTATTGCGTGTTAAGATTTTGGACATCTTCTTGTACATTTTTAATGCTTAAGGTTGTTTATTATGATGTGATTAACCTTCTATGTGTGATTTGACTGGACAGGAATAACGGGACTGATTTTTTCTAATCCCCATAGACAAGAAACAATAAAGCAGTGGAGTAAAAGTACTGATACAGCGCAAAAGATGTTTTCAGGGGAGAGTAAAAGTGCACATTTTTAAAAGTACTTAGTAAATTACAATTGCTGAGGAAAACTACTCAAATACAGTAGCTTGAGTATTTGCAATTTGTTACTTTACACCACTGCCTATGGTTAAATTTTTAAAGGGGTGGTCCACAATGTAATATTAAGGCTTGGTTGTGTTTATAAGATGCAAAGCAATGTGTGCTTATGTTTCACTTGAAGGAAATTTTTTGATGCTATTTTTTTATATATCTTACTTTGATTATACACAGCTACTCAGCTAACATGAAAACGACTGTCATATTTCCTAGTTCCTTTGAAAGGCCCGCCCTTAAGTGACTCTGATTGGTCATCGTCATAATGTGCTGCTATTCGCGGATTGGCTCCACGTCCCGTAAAAGCACGCGCTGTTCTGTTGTGTAAACATGCAGTCAACCTCCTGCCTGCTCTAAAATTAAATCTGACAAGTGTCTGTAATAAGTGAAAATGGGATGCGGCTCCTTTAAGAGTTTGCCATTGTGTGTGCGGTGTGAATGTTGTCTGCGTCTATGTGTGTGTGAATGTGTGAACTTTCTGTAACAAGCGCTTGTGCGCGGGACTTTCTTTTTCTCTGATGCTCGGATTAAGTTATTTTCTGTAATATATCGTGACAGAAGAATAAAGCACAAGATGTGGGATGCTACCTGTTGAGCCTTGATTTATTATTCTGCTGCGACCACGAGTCAGGTAAGCTAACCTATATATTTTTTTAACTCTATGCGTTACACGACAACTTTCACGTGTATCCGGAATATGCAGGTGTAAGTAATATGAATCATCCACATATCTTTTGCGACTTCATTATCTGAGATGTGAAACGCATGGAAAAGCTGCCTAAAGACAATCAGTGCTGTCCGTGCGCGCACACACATAAGAGACACGAACGTGCTGGTGGAGTGTGTGTTTACAGCAGTTTGACTGATAAATATGAATTTGTAGCTCAATCATTTGCCCACAAAGCAGCATTTGCCATTGTTTACATCATTGCTACAGCATATCGTTAACGCTAGACACTGTACATGTCACGATCAATTTTAACTAATAAAAACACTTACTGGTTGTAGCTTATAGCTTCTGCTGAGGAGATTTTAGCTGAATCCAGCACTGAACTGGGAGAGATTCTGGAGCTGTGTTTTATCAAATCATGCTTGCTGTGTATTTTATAATTCTCTGGAACATAATTAACATTGAACTGCAAGTACTTCTGTCTTTGTGTCGTGTCCTTTGGAAGCCCAAATACAGAAACAGACGAAGCTCTGTGGAAACAGCCGTGTTTAGACGCATTTTTAGCTTCATCTCTGCTATAACGTTACATCGCCTCTGGCCACGGCCCTTACCTGCATGCGCAGTTTAGATGCACAGTAACGAACTTTTGTGATCTAACAGGGGGCGGAAGTATTTTTTGTAGTCCCTAAAATATGTTAATTGTAGGCTTTGCTAAGCTAACTCTGTAAAAACCAAGGTCTCCCTTTGCATTGAACTTAAAACTTTTTACTTGACTCTCTAATGCTTGCAAATGAGATATAATCTCCTGGAAATGGAGGTGCCAAATCACGTAAAGTCACATAAAATAGCCTCATAAGTTTGAACTAATTATTTAGTTTGAAGATCTGTAAGAGGACAAACCTAGATAAGAAGAGATACTTTTCATTTTTTTCCAACGTGAAATGAGCAAACATTGTTTCCACATCTCAATATACAGCTGTTATTTTAAAATGAAATAAATGATGGCAGTCAAAATGGTTTAGGATCGTTTTTGTATCTGGTTTAGCCAATATTTCCACAATTCACAATAATTATCCATTTGTCAATCAAATAAATGAGTATCTTGGGACCAAATGCTGAATTGTACACCTGTCACACTCTAAAATTTAATATTGATTTGGGAAAGAGCTTACGTAAGAATAAATTAATTGAATATTAAATAGAGCATGAACTCATAAATTGTGAATACTTTTTAATGTGTGATGAGAATTGTTTAAATATTTAGAAAAAAAATGTGTGTGGTGATGGAAATGACATGGTGTTGTGGAAGAACAATGAATTAATGTTAATGTATGAAACAGTAGATATTTATTAGAGAAACTCAAACTTACAGTTTATCTTTGCATGTGTGGTGCTGGGATTGATCTTAAAAAAAACAACAATGAACAATATGGTGAACAGTAACAGTGCATACTGTGAATTACTATAACTTCAAATATTCTTTAATTGATTTTTAAAATAAAGTTTTACACATATCTACTGGGGTTAGACAATGAAACTGAAACACCTGGTTTTAGACCACAACAACCCATTTGTCTGGTGTAGGGAAATGGTCTCAAACTCAATTTCTTAAGGGCCGTAGTTCTGCATAGTTTAGCTTAGACCACCCCCAATTCACACCCGCTTAATAGTCTATTGTAGTCTTGAACACCTTGATTAGTTGAATCAGCTGTGTTTGATTAGGGTTGGAACAAAACTCTGCAGAGCTGCAGCCCTTTAGGAATCAAGTTTGGGACCTATCGTGTAGGGCCTTCTTTTGTCTCCAATCCAGCATCAATTGGTCTCAGAAATGACAGCTACAAGTCCTGCACAGTGGCCAGAGGGATTCTGAGCCATTCTTCAGGTCACTATGTGATGCTGGTGGAGGAAAACATGTCCTGACTCGCTCCTTCAAAATACAGCAAAGTGGCTCAAAAATATTTAGATCTGGTGACCATGGCAGAAGTTCAACTTCAATTTCATGTTCATCAAATCACTCTGTGACCAGTCTTGCTTTGTGCATTGGTACAATGTTTGACCCAGAATGGTTGGGTAGTCCTTGGCAGTGTATTGGGCCTAGAGCAGGGGTCACCAAACACACCTGAACAAGCTAATCAAGGTCTTACAACTTGAAACACCAAGGCAGGTGTGCTCAGGCAAGTTGGAGCTTAACCCTGCAGAGAAACTGGACCTCCTGGACCAAGATTGGACCCTGACCTAGAGAATGCAATGATATGGAGCCCAAACCATCAATACCCATGCTACACTCTGGGCATTCAGCAGTCTGAGTGATATTCTTTGTGGATTTTCCACACCGTAACTCCCTTGGATGTTGGAAAGACTGTGAAAGTAGACTCATCAGAGAACAATACACATTTCACATTTTCCTTAGCCCAAGATTTTCGCTGCTGGCACTATTGAGACCCACGTTTGGCATTGACACAAGTAACCAAAGGTTTGGCTATTACAGCCTGGCCATGTATATTGACCCTGTGGAGATCGAGACCAACAGTTTTGGTGGAAACATGAAAGGTAAGGTACACATTTAATTCTGCAGTGAGTTGGACAGCTGTTGTTTTATGTTTTTTTTTTTTTTTGGACAAATCTGCTCAAATTTAGGCATGAAATCTCAAACACTAAATTGACCAGTGTTTCAGTTTCACTGTCCAACCCCTGTACTTTCACAATCCAAATCAGTTGTGTTTTGTAACCATAAATGTCATTTCCATCACATACTGTCTTTTCCACCACAGGGGGCAGTTTTTGGAAATTACATTTTTACAGTTTATTGTGATAAGATTAAAGATAGCTTCACAAATCCGCTTTGAATTAATACTAGCATTACATGTATATGAAATACTTTTATTTATCTTAATTTTGTGTACTTTTTAAAAACAGTGACATTACAGTGTTGTGGTGGAAATGACATTGATGCTGTGTGACAGCTAAATTTTTGTATAAAAAATAATATTGATAGTAGTCTCACATTAAATACTATTATTAGTAGTAGTATATAATACTATTATATTATTATTGTTTAAATGATTTCAACATATATTTAAATGATATGAAGTTTTAAACTGGGTGTGGGACAAAGAGAAACAGTAATTTTGATACGTAAAAGGAGGTTGAATAATGTGAAAATAATAATTATAATAGAAAAGTAGTTTCTAATCTTTAAAATGAGGTTTTACTGTTAGTTTAGCAAAAAAAAAAAAAAAAGATGAATTAAGTTTACTGGAAAATCGAATTAACTGATTCTGACATGTTACAGTTTTTTACAATTGCTAGGACAGTTTTTTCAATACATTTAACATGTTTTTTAAACTCTTAACAAAGTTAGCACAACATCCATCTTTGTAGGCTATACAATTAACACATTTCTTGTTGCTTTGATACAAAATTCATACAGTTAACACCAATTCCAAATGCTTGAACGTCTTATACACACAAGCTCAACCAACGCCAAAACAATGTCATTTTACAGTCAAATTTACAAATGCTTTCAAACTGTATGTCAGAACACATAACATCGTCTTCTAAACAGAACTTAGGCAAAAGTCATAGTGAACAGTTGTTCATATTGTGAACTGAAACAAATGTATTCCCTGTATTTTATTCCATTGCCAATGAGAAACAGCTTATTGCAGTTATGCAAATATATCAATTACAGCAGATTCCCATCTAGGAACCACACATTTTTCCAATCACTTGATCATATGTTCTAAGAGAGGAGTCTTTGGGCTGATCTTGAGTGGAAAAGGAACAACAAAAGAATTCTTCCCATAAAGCCTAGCCAGAGAAGATATCAAGTGTGATGTGGATGAGAACATGTGGCCAAATGCAGATAACCAGGCAAAATAGATGACTTTTTTTATTATTATAATATTATTATTACTTTTTTATTATAAATGATTTATACATGATCTCTGCTGGGGGGGGGGGGGGCAGCATTGAAAGAAGAAAAGTGGATGCCATCTCACAATGGGAAGAACCTAAGACGTTAAAGGAGTTGCAGAGGTTTCTAGGATTCGCCAACTTTTACCTAAGGTTTATTAAGAACTATAGTATTCTCTCTGCACCTTTAACCTCCCTCCTGAAAGGCTGGATGGAAAGCTGGATGTTGTGCTAACTGTGTTAGGAGTTTAGGAAACTGTTAAATGTACTGAAAAAACTATCATAGAAATTGTAAAAAAAAAAAAAAAAAAAAAATCTAAAAGAATGACACAGCAGTTTAGACAAAACAGCATCCTGTAAATCGACACTTGACTCATCTGAGGGGCGTGATTTAGCCTTACAATTACAGGAAATGAAAAACGAAAGTGCTGGGTGGTAGTCCACGAGTGATACTTTGTGCTTTTGTTTTTCACAAAAGAAAAAGGATGTCAGAGATGAGGTGAGTTTTCTTTGATACTATTTAGATTCTGACAAGCGGGAATGCAAACGTTTAAAATCAGATCTAGCTACCTTTGTTAAAAACTGTTTTACTAGCAGCAAAACATTTATGTTATGATTATAAAATAAATGATGTCATTTTAAGAACAATGTGATTTGTTAGGAGCTCAGTACAAATGAACTAAACTGAGTCATGGTGGGAAGCGTCATTTTCTTTCATGTAGTTTTTGCTTAAGAGTTTACATTAGCCTGCTGCTATTTCCAAGGCTATTTAACCTGAAGATGTTGCAATATTAGTCTAACTGAATCCTGAAGCTCTTTTTTTTCAATCCTTTTAGTTTAATTCAGGCCAGTTTAAAAAAGAAACTGGATCAGCTGGAGTGCCACTTCACATGGGACATTACAAAAGATCATCTAGACTTTACGAACCTCCTCAACAGACTTGAGGAACAAAACAAATTGGATTTAGGGAATGAGGAAGGAGCTGCACGAGCGCAGTGCTCAATGGGATATCTAAAATTCCTTCTCAACTGCAAAGAAGAAGCTCTTACTCACCTGTCGAGATCTGAGGCACTCATCAAAGAAAACTTTGCAGACAACAACGACAAGGCTCTTATTGTGACCTATGGAAATTTTGCCTGGATAAACTACCACATGGAGAACTACACAGAGTGCGAAAGTTACCTGGTTAAGCTTCAGAAGATACATGAAAGATTTGCAACTGAGTCTTCAGCTGTTCCAGAGGTGCTTGGGGAGAAAGGGTGGACTTATCTTAAATTCTCTCGTAAATATTATGACAAGGCAGTAGAAGTTTTTCAGAAAGCTGTGGAACTGGATCCAACAAATAGTGAGTGGAACGCAGGTTATGCCATCGCTCTGTATCGCACTGAGAATTTTAACCCACCACCTTGTACTGTGGAAACACCTGCAATAAAACAGCTGAGACAGGCCATTGACTTAAACCCAGATGATGATGTTCTGAGAGTTATTCTAGGAATTAAACTTTTGAATTGCTCCAAAGGTTTAATGAACGAGTCCGAGCAATTGGTTGAGAAAGCTTTGAATCAGTCTCCAGAACATCCACATGTCATTAGATATGTTGGAATGTTCCTCAGGGATCAGGGATCTGTTGACAGGTCCATTGAAATTCTGAAGAAAGCCCTTCAAAGATCACCAAAATCAGGCTTCATATGTCATCAATTAGCAATGTGCTACAAGACCAAGAAAATAAACCTATGTAAAGAAAAACGGAGAAAAGTGGAGGTAGATGAGGCTCGCGATCAAAGCATATACTACTTAGAAGAGGCAACTTCCTTAATACCATCCTTTATCTCTGCAGTGTGTCAGCTCGGACTTCAGTATGGAGACCGACGTGATCTGCTTAAAGCAGAAGAGCAGTTTGACAAAGCATTTAAGTTAGTGAAAGAGAAAAACGAGCATCTTCAATCTGTTCATTTGTCTTATGCTCAGTTCCAGCAGTACAGCAACAGACGTGAGGATTTAGCAATCGAGCACTATGAGAAGTGTTTGACAATGAATCCACACACTCCTGATGGAAATAGAAGTGCACAGAAACTGTGCAACATTGCCAAGAAAAATCTCAAGTTAAATCCAAATGATTGGAAAGCCAATGAAATACTGGGCTTAGTTTATAACTTGAAAGGTGAAATGTTTGAAAGGTATGGGAACACTCCAGACAACGAAGATGATTCATTCCTCTGTAATCTTCTTGAGGTTATGTCTTTGTAATTTATAAAATATTATTGTAATATAGATAAATAAACACTAAAAATGCCCCATTTGCAAATTTATGATCTCAGAAAGCATGGAAGCAGTGGTGCAGTAGGTAGTGCTGTCGCCTCACAGCAAATAGGTCGTTGGTTCGAGCCTTGGCTGGGTCAGCTGGCGTTTCTGTGTGGAGTTTGCATGTTCTCCCTGCGTTCGCGTGGGTTTCCTCCGGGTGCTCTGGTTTCCCCCACAGTCCAAAGACATGCGGGTACAGGTGAATTGGGTAGTGTAAATTGTCCGTAATGTATAAGTGTGTAAGGATGTTTCCCATAGATTGGTTGCAGCAGGGCATCCGCTGCGTAAAACACATGCTGGATAAGTTGGCGGTTCATTCCTCAGAAAGCTCTTTAAAATATCAACATATTCTTCATTCTTCGAGCATTGTCAAATTTTATTTAAGGCGTTAGGCTTGGGGCTAGACTTCTTTCTAAAAAAATCCAAATTTTTCATATCCTAAACCCTTATTTGAGTCAAATGTTGATGAACTCAATCACTAGGTTTGAGTTTTATTTAATTTTTAAAAGCTGTTTTTATATAGGCTTCGAAAAAATCTTTGTATTCAGTCCTTGGCTTTGCCAGCTGTATTCCTTTGTCATGTCATTTTGTTTTGATTTACTGTCTAAGTGTTAAGTACATGTCATGCTCACTCAGAACACAATACTTTAAGGTTAACCCACTTCCAAGAAAATACGTTTTAAATGTGATGAAAATGGACCCAGTTTGGCTGGACAATGCATGCGTCTCACTTTTTTTCCATCTCGTGTAGTATGTGATAGAAGAATGCAAGGTAAAACAACCACAGGGTAATTGAGGAAAAACTCTGTGAAATATTGATATACATTGCTTCAATGTTCGATGCTTTTTTTTCTCAAGCACAGTTTCAAATATCTTATTTAAGGTGTTGGGTTTGAGGGTAGTCTTCTTTTTTTATCTTAATTTTTCATATACTCAACTCTTTTTATGGGTCAATAGTGGATGAACTCAATCACTAGGTTTACATTTATTTCATACTCATGAGCTGTTTTACATAGGCTTTGAAAAAAGTCATTGTGTTCAGTCCTTGGCTTTGCCAGCAGTATGCTTTTGTCATGTCATTTTCTTTTGATTTACTGTTATAAGAATGAAGCACATGCTTATTCGGAAAGCTATATTTTGTTATTGTACACTGTTTTAAATAAGTTTAATGCTTCTCTTTAACAAAAACAAAAAAAGCTACTAGGATTTCAGTAAACTAAAGTGAAAATAAAAAAGGAGAACTTTTGCAGCAATATGCTACTATGGTAAATTAAGGGTGACAAGTAAAAACAAAAGATTTTAGGCACAAATAGTAAATAGTAGGCATCGAAATAGTATTTGACACGTGTTTGAGGTGAGAGTTATTGGGTGAGGGTCATAAAAAGGGCTTTGTCTATTTTAGCAGATGAGAACCACCCACTTTATCCAAAGTTCTGCCATCAGCCAGAAGGTTTACTTATTTTAGACGGGCAAGGTCCAACAGATATTTGCATTCACCTGTTCCAACTGCAGTTGGGTTACTTGAGCTGTAAGTTATGTGTTTTTTTTTTTTTTTTACTTGACTGATTAATTTTATTGTTTACTGTAACTTCTATGTTGTCAAGCATCACCTGTTGCAGTTAACTGTCGGCTATTGTTGTAAACCTAATTGCCCTTTGGGGACAATAAAGACATTCCAAACCAATCTGAGATGCTACTTCCCGGACATACATGTAATAATCTTACCATTATCATTTAATTTGTTACAGTAATGGTGGTTCATTTCGCTGTGGCCACCCCTGATAAATCAGGGACTAAGCCGAAAGAGAATAAATGAATGAGTGTTACAATAATCTTTGTCACTGCGGATAACAGTTTTTCAATCTGTCATGCCATTGTCTTTCTAAATATTTAAATCTACTCAAATCAAACACTAAAGAAATATAGCCACTTTGTAAAAATCTGTCTGATGAGTGTTTTTGTTTCTTTTGATCGGAAGGCTTTTTTTCTGTGACAAACATCTGTGATGAATGATTTAGTTGTGTTTGTGTTGGATTGCATGGGTTGTCTATCTAATTTGACAGAATAATGCAAACACATTTCATCATCATCAATATTGTTCATATTATTGACTCATCTGCTTGTTTTATACCCATACCAATATAAACAGCCAAAATATTACTGAAAAACTGTTGGTCAGTAAACTCTTAACAGAAGTCATACTGGAACAAACCCCGTAACAAAACAGCACTGCCCTCTACTGACAAAAAAATGACATACAACAACATAAAACCTTAGTTAAAATGACCAATATCTGGAATGCTATATTCCACAGAAAGATAAACAATGTACATAAAGAAGTCTTAGTACCTGTGCATTATTATATAAAACCTGAATACAATACAATAAATGCACTTCTTGTTGTCAACAACAGCTTGAAAATGTAGATGGAATACAATGCTTTTGAGCAGAAAGGCACGCGAGTGTACACACTCTACTATATACAGTGGTAGTATATAGTATAGTATGTTCTATACACACAGTTCTATGAACAATTAAACAGGACTTATTACTGACTCTACATATATACTAACAATATTTCATACATATCTTTAAAACTAGACTTAAAAAAACTATCCAAATGCTATGAAGTGGCTGGTATAATTAACATCAAGTCTTTATTTTTAGGAGGATAATAGTCCACTTGTTTGCCTTCACATGATACCAGTTTTGGGATTTTGCTCAGGCTGTTCTTCTTTTGGTTTCTCTGGCAATAGCGAATGATGGCGACTGAAAAGAGCAGGAGAGAGCTGGAGATGAGGGCAAAACCGCTCAGAAAAAATGTTGCCGTGTAAGTCCCTGTGGTGTCTACCAGCCAGCCTACCCAAAGTGGAACAAAAAAAAAATCACATAATTACTTCAAGGGTAACACACTTCCCAAAAAATATGTTTTTAATGTGGTGAAAATGGAAACAGTTGGGGTGGATAATGTGTTTCTACATTAATAGTTAACCACTTAATGCACTATTTCTATAAGGCAGACCATTACAGAAGTGATGGCTGAGGTTAATATTTTCCTTTCTTGAAAACACATTACAGGTCATTCTTTACCAATGTCCTGCATCGTGGTCTTGTTGTCCTTTTACCTCATAAACTCATTTCAACTTATTAAAGAATTTTGTACAGTTTCAGGACTGTTAACCACATTTAAACAGGACAGTTAATCTTTTATAACTCATGCTCTGTTGCCTGTTTTCTGCTGCATCTAATTGTTATACAGCAATCTGGAATACAGGATTCTGCTCATGATTCATGATTGTGTACAGGTATGTAGTTGAATGATCTGGGTATCTCTTGTTTCAGACAAACTGCTGTTTCCATTTTGCATCTGTATTCTGTAAGGGGTTATGAGTAGGCCTACACGGAATCTGCGCGCGCAGAATTCCGCAGATTTTCACACATTTTTAGCCCATCATTAATTCTGTTTATTCACTTAAGTAAATGTGTGTAAATCTATATTTATTCAGTTTTTAAGTTAATTACAGGAATATTATTGACTAATGTGAAAATGCTCATCTGATTTATGTACAATGCAGTTTGTACAGTATTATTTTCTGTCTTTTAGTAGATATTATATGAGACTTGCTTTGTTTACCAAATAAAGTGAATTTAATTGGATTTGCATTTTAAACACTAAATAAAAGTTAAATTTTTAAATTTTTTTATTTTACATATTGAGGTTTTAGTTATGATACTTCCAAAACAATTCAGCAGAAATCCGAAGATCTTTACCAAAATTCTACACAGAAATAGCAAAAAACATCCGCAGATTCCGTCTGGCCCTAGTTATAAGATTACAAACAGGTAAGATTTAAAAAAAAAAAAGTTGATGCATATACATGGAATTTGTGCATGTGTGTAAATGTAACATTCTGTAAGTGCATTTAGTTATTACTCTGCAGGCACACAACATCATAGGAATGTCTAGCCAGCGTCTAAGGACAATGTTATTTTGGTGTCCAAAAATGACATTAAATGATGTTGAGCTTGGGTTAGTAAGTGACCAAAATCCAACGTTAGGCCAACACCCTTAAACCAATGTCAAATACTGACATTTATTTTTCAGGTATGGCAACCAAAATTCGACATCTGATAGATTACATAGAGGTAACGTCAAGCTGTAACATCATTAGATTTTAATATTTGGTTGATTTTAGGTTGGATGTTTCCTTAATCCCCAAAAACAAGAAAAAATAAAAGCAGTGACTGTGGGTTGAATGAAAATAGTGGAGTAAAAGTACTGATACAGCACTAAAAATGTACTCAAGCGAAAGTAAAAGAGCACATTTTTAAAACTACTTAGTAAAGTACAATTCCTGAGAAAAACTACCAAACTACAGTAGTTGGAGTATTTGTAACTTGTTACCTTACACCACACTAAATCAGTATTCCTTATCCTCATGATAGTTTAAGTAGCGAAAAACAATCCATGTAACAAAAAAGGAAATCAGTGGTATGATTGAAATTAAGTGATATGATTGTACCTTTCTAGAAAAAGCAACTTTGTTCAGTAAACAATATTTTTTGTCCATTCTTTACATACACAAGAAGTAGAGTAGTAGTAAGTGGGATAATGTGCATCCAGCCAGTTACCGCACAATAACCCCTTCAGGCTGGGATTACTCTCCCATAACAAAAGGGTGAAAATACATTATCCCCTAGTTAATGTTTTACAGCAAACAATACCAATATATTTTAAGAACTTACATTTTGGAAGGGTGAATCAAAGATTTCATTCATTCATTTTCTTGTTGGCTTAGTCCCTTTATTAATCTGGGGTCGCCACAGCGGAATGAACCACCAACTCATCCAGCAAGTTTTTACGCAGCGGATGCCCTTCCAGCCGCAACCCATCTCTGGGAAACATCTACACACACAAACTCATACACTATGGACAATTTAGCCTACCCAATTCACCTATACCGCATGTCTTTGGACTGTGGGGAAACCGAAGCACCCGGAGGAAACCCACGCAAACGCAGGGAGAACATGCAAACTCCACACAGAAACGCCAACTGAGCCGAGGTTCGAACCAGCGACCTTCTTGCTGTGAGTCAAGAGCACTACCTAATGCGCCACTGCAAACTGCAAACTGTAATCATACGAAGCTCCAAGAACAATTCTATGCAAAATTCAATAAAAAAATACATTGGCTAAAAATACATTTTTGTGACAGGCAAGGGTGTGTATTTACTACAGCCAATACGCAATATGCTTACTTGTTTTGCAGCAGACTCTAATGAGAATGCACACTTAGTAACTATTTTAAATACAAATAATTGTGACCTTCAAAACAGCAAAGTTATACCACATCTGACATGACAGTTCATAATGTTCAAGATCAAAATTGGAAATGGAAACTTTTATACCTTAGTAAAATGTGGAGCATCTATGTCTTGCTCAGACCACAAAACTGATTGACACAGCTGTGGTGAAAACAGTAACTGGATCTAAACATCAGATGACACATGGATTATATCTGCATCTCTATGTGCCCTATCATACACCTGGTACAATGAGGCACCAGGTGCAGAACAAGTGTTTTTGCTAGTTTCAGGCCGGCACAGGTATCTTTTTTACATTTTGTGCTATATTGTTTAAATAGCAAATGCATTTACACTAGGGCTGTCAAATGAATAAAAATGTAAGTAATTAATCACACTTTTTGTAATTAATCATGATTAATTTCCGTTCCTGAAATGCGGAGGTTTTTCTTTCCATTCGCCATGCGGTGTCAAATTCCATTAAAACATCTTGAATGAAAATATGCTGAATGAGAGTGAACTGCTGAACTGCAGTTAAAGTTTAGAGATTAAAATTGAAACACCCGAAATTGCATGAAACATTGAAGGAAACGCAGATTAGCCTGGTAATGCGACAATTGTTTTATACTGAAACTTTCCTTCTAAAAGTGCGTCCATGGTCTTATCCATATTTCTTTGCATGTTAAATACACACAGAGCCGGAGCAAGCTGAACTGGCGTTCTAGGCAAACGGCAATCACGCCATCCACAACCCAAAAGTGAAAAAGAAAGTGACCGGTTTGCTGATGAAAGCAAGGACTGTGAGGGAGGGGGTGGGTGTAGCTGATAAAAGTGAAGACCGGGGGGGTTCTCTTACTATTCTGCTGCCCAAGGCGGCCGCCTAGGTCCCCTTTATATGCACACACAGTTCCTGAACACAGGTCAGCCACAACAGGACATAAAAAAAGAACTGCAACTGCGTTATTTGCGTTATTTTCTTTTAATGCGTTAAATATTCAAAATTAATCATGTGCATTAATGCGCTAATTTTGGCAGCCCTAATTTACACCCATTTGTGTGCTCATGGGTATGCTGGTCTAAAAGGGAGGTGTGTGTTGTTTTTTGAGACAACTGAATTAGTCCATACCATTGACCAACCAAACGTCCACAGTGCAGTGTTTCTATTCGCATTAGTGTTATGTGCCTATGCGGGTCCAAAATATGCAAACACGTTGCTTATTACGCAGAGAGGCCAGCAACTAGTACAACTCTTACATGGTTATCCACTAAAGGGCTGTGTGCGGTCAATAACTAGATGGGAGACCACATGGAAATGCTATGTTGCTGCCGGAAGTGGTGTTAGTGTGACCAACAGGGGGTGCTCTGTGTGGGTCTTAATGCCCCAGTATATTGATGGGGACTCTATACTGCTGTCTTTCGGATGAGACGTCAAACCGAGGTCCTGACTCTCTGTGGTCGTGTGTCAACTATCATGGCCTCCTAACCATCCCCATATCATAATTAATAAACTCTGTCTCCACTCCACTATGCTAGTCGCGTCATCCAGGTAGATGCTGCACACAGATGGTGGATGAGGAGATTTTCCTCAAAAATGTGTAAAGCGCTTTGAGTGTCCAGAAAAGCACTATATAAATGTAAGGATTATTAATTATTATTAGTACAAATATCTTTAAACATGAAAAATGATAGTTATTTTATATTATAGTCTACATAAACATAAAAATGGGCAGCGCAGTGGGGCAGTGAGTAGCGCTGTTGCCTCACAGCAAGAAGGTCGCTGGTTCGAGCCTAGGCTGGTTCAGTTGGCATTTCTGTGTGACTCTTGTGGAATCCAGCTCTGTTGTAGACAGATTATTCATGACAATTTACATTTATTTAGTATTTTTATTAGTATTATTTATTTATTTATTTATTTATTTATTTATTTATTTATTTATTTATTTATTTATTTATATTTATTATATGCATATTTAATTTTATTTTTATATATTTTATGTGTAGATTTGTCAACCTGTTTTAGAGACGTACTGTACAGTATGCATCACCAAATGAGGCATAGTGTGTTTGGATATAAACTCACTTTGTTATTATTGGTCATTTATTGATTTGCTGTAAATTAGAACTGTGTGTTTGTAGTACTATTTTTAAAACAAATTTTTGCGCTTAACAAACAAAATTACAAAATTAAATATGTAATGCATGTCTTTAGTGAAGTGCGTCCACTACTATTTCCTAAATACATGGTCAAATGGAGGAGGCCAACTGGAAGAAGCTCATTCTGTAGATGGTATTTAACCTTGCACAGATGGTCTTTAACCATTTTCTCGCTAGTGAGGCATTCAGTTTTTCCATTTACAAAGGCGACCATGTAAATAACTAATGCACCATGGTGCAACACAACTAACTCCTTAATGAAAAGGGAGATGAGACTCTGATTGGTTTAATGCACCTTATGCCTAAAACACAGCCATAACTTAGCAAGAAAATAAAGACAACCCTGTTTAGACCATGCACCTAGCACACAGACTACTTTTCCATTCTAAAAATAGGGAATATGGATTTGAATACACCCTTAGTGCTTATAACACCAAACAGAAGTTCTGTAAGTTACCGCTTGTGGTTGTAACTATCACAAATAAACAGGATGAGTGAGATCTATGACTGTCAATCAATTAAACTTTATTTACACTATTGGATGATTGATTAAATAAACACATTTATGTATTAAATATGGCTTAGAAATTACCCCAAAGGCAATTGTGTAATCATTGTTAAATGTAAAGGCTCAGTGACATTACAAAAATTTGGGTTGTTTGTTTGTTTGTTTGAGTACTAGGTGGCATTAAATGTCTTACTTGGTATTTTAAGATTGAAGATTGAATGATGTATTCATTTAACTCACTCACTCACTCACTATCCTTCAGCTTAATCCCTCATTGATCCACAGTGGAATGAACTGCCAATTACTCTGGCATGTGTTTTTGCAGCAGATGCCCTTAGACAGCACTCTCTCATTCACACACATACAGTACACTACGGCCAATTTTGTTTACCCAATTCACCTTTACTGCATGTCTTTGAACTGTGGGGGAAACCAGAGCGCCTGAAGAAAACCTGGATGGGAGATCAGATGGGTTGCTGTCAGAAGTGGTGTTAGTGAGACCAGCAGGGGGCACTCAACCTGCGGTCTGTTTGGTAACGCCCCAGTGTAGTAAAGGGGACTCTATACTGCTCAATAAGCGCCATCTTTTAGATGAGAAGTTAAACCGAGGTCCTGACTCTCTGTGGTCATTAAAAATCCCAGGAAGTTCTGCGCAGTGGGTAGCGCTCTTGCCTCACAGCAAGAAGGTCGCTGGTTCGAGCCCCAGCTGGGTCAGTTGGCATGTCTGTGTGGAGTTTGCATGTTCTCCCTCCATTCGCGTGGGTTTCCTTCGGGTGCTCAAGTTTCCTCCAAAGACATGCAGTACAGGTGAACTGGGTAAGCTAAAATTGTCCGTAGTGTATGAGTGTGAATAAGAATGTAGGGATGTTTCCCAGTGATAGGTCGCGGCTGGAAGCGTATCTGCTGTGTAAAACATGCTGGATAAGTTGGCTGTTCATTCCGCTGTGGCAACCAAGCCGAAAGGGGACTAAGCCGAAAAGAAAATGAATAAATTAATGATATTCAAAACTGATTACATTGGTAATCTGAAGCTAAATAAGGCTGAAAGCCAGCAAAGCAAAATGAAACTGCTGAAGCAATTTCTGATGAGAGGACATGAAAGCAGAGGAGCTTTTATTATGCCACAGTCCACCATTTTCACTTCTTCCAGTCATGATAACTTAGGGAAGAAGCATTGCTCTTTTATCATACCACATATATTTTGGTTCTAATAAAAAGCTGCTCTGTGCAGCTTATTAAAACACAGAATGTGTTAAAGTGTATTTGCCTGTTTTCATTAAAACCAAACCAAAAATCAAGTGTGTGCTACATATTTAGCATGGGACATAGTCTGTGTCATTAATTAAAATTGCCTATTTCTCTGGATATTACCATTTTTCTAAACATTTGTGATAACTTTACTACACAAGTCAGAAAAAATAAATCACTGCTCTAGTAGTTTTTGGATATTTTAATAAGGTAATCCCACATATTGTGCATTTAATATATTGTATAAATATGAGACAAAAACCTCCTAGAGGGTATTTATTGGAGGGCATAATATCTTGAATTTTAGGAGCATATGACAGCATGATATACTGTAGGCTTCATCTTGTAGTGAATCGTTTTTGTGCATCATGTTTTTCGACAAACTGATGAACTGATTTCAAGAACTGAATTCAAGAACTGATGCAGATTTAAAGTCAAGGCATGAGTGTTGACCGCACACAAATTACGGGGTACTTTTTCCTTACTAACATGTTAAATTGACAGCCCTATCTAGTATGAACACAACAGCATTAATGACTTTGGCTTGTAGCTTTGATTTAGTAATGGAATGCAGTTGTCACTCCTGTAGATAGGATTAACTGGTAAAATAAGGACAGGATTAAACACTAAAGTTAACTGAAATGCAAATGTGAAAATGTGTATACATGGCCTTAGTGTGAATAATAAATAGATCCTTTATAACATTTACTTTATATTAAGTTTGAACAGATGAAAATAAAATCATTTGATTACCTCCAAAAAAAACAACACTTACCTCCAATGGGTGGGCTGACTAGATAGGGAACAGCATGGAGAAAGTACACAACCCCGAGAGCTGAAGAGAGGTATTGTCTCCCTACAACATCTGATGTTACCACGGGAATAAGGGCAACATAGGCTCCATCAAAGTACCCATAAAGCACAGAGAAGGGTACCAGCCAAACAAATGTGCGTAAGAGCGGGATAAAAAGACAACACAGTCCCTCCATTCCCACAGCAAACATGTAGCATATATTCCTGTACTTTTTTAGACACCTGTAAGAGAGATCAGAAAACCTTAGTCAGCATGATCAGGAGCATATTATTGATATTCTTTATTTTTCTTAGACCTAAGCATTTCTGTAATCTTTTGACCTCTGTATAGCAATCATTAGGCAAATAAGAAAAAAAAAAAAACATGATGCATACTCTTTCAAAGTTTAAGTCACACTCTAAACTGGCAGCTGGGTCAATGATGAACAAAGACTTTAAAAAATTCCAAATTATTAACTTTATAATAAACTAATAAATATTAATGGTATGAGTTTGAAAACTTTTCTGTTTTAAAAGGCTTGTACTTGAAGATTTAGTCTGCCCACCCCAGTAAAAACAATTGTTTCCTGCACAGGTCGATCTTTTTGGTTAATAGTCCCCAGTTTTTGCAAAAATCATGGTTATTCTTTTGTTTTTACTGTAAAAATGTTTAAGTGCTGAAATCCGTTGATTAACAATTGAATCATTTTTAGAACCACATTTTCAACTAAAAACATTCATTAAGATTCCATTATTTTCTTGAATACTTTCAAACTTTTAAACAAGAATTTTTTTTTAACATATTAATAAATATTAGGTTTTTGAGAAATTGCACCACATGATATTTTACACCCAGTTTTTATAAGACTAACTGACATATACTTATTTATTTATCCTTTAGTTTTCCTGGAAAGTCCCACTAAGATGAACAGAATTCCTTTCTTCCAGAGATTCCTGGATAAGATGACCATATAGCCTTAAAATGACTAGTCCTCCGATGAAGTTTGAATTCTTTAAAAAATATTTTCCTCGTATTGTTGTGTATAATGGAGAGAAGATCTTTAAAACAAGTTTTAAAAAAAATAGTTATACCAACTATTTTCTTTAGTCTTTGCTTAAAATACTTTTCTATTAATTTTATAACAGTGGTTCTCAAACTGTGGTACATGTACTACTAGTTGTACGTTGGCTTCCTTCTAGTGGTACACGGAGGAATCGCTGAATAATTAAAGCAAAAAAAAAAAAGAACACTTTTAACCCTTTGACGTGTACGATAACACCGATGTGATCAGTAAATTGATTTTAATAGGCTAAACCTTTTAATTTTACTTTCAATATTCTAATGTTTGTTGTGTATTCTATCATTTGAAGATAACTTCCTCCCCATATTTATAAAGGTTGTTGGGGGCGTATTACGTATTTTTATATCCCAATGTTGACAGGTATAGTTCAATCACTTGCTTTTCTGACACAAATAGCCTACTCTAACATGCAGTAAGCAGATTTAATTTATAATTTAAATATCTAAATCCAACTCATATATCTAAAATACAGGTTAATGTTTAGATTACAAAGATTTAAATCAGTCATTTGTACATGCATCATATATTATATATGAAGTTTATATATAAATATGATGACATATAGCTTATATTTATGAGGTACAAGGAACATTTTCAGGTTTTGATGAATAGGCTACTTCATGATAATACTTTACATTTAAGTAAGGCAGTTTTCTTTTTACTTTTTAAGAACAGTGCCATTTTTAATTAACTTTTAAAAGCACATTTTAATTTAAACGTTGACGTTTTATTTATTTTTACCTGTAAGCACAGTACAGTGTTAATGCTCAAACTATTTATAATGTTTAAAGTGGCTGACAACAATAAATATCCATAATAAGAACAATTAATCTGCCACGTTTTTGAACTGTGCAGTGCTGTAGCTGCTTAATTAGGCTGACTTTGCAACTGTATTTCAGTACTGGTCATTATGGTGGTAGTTGGTGAAAAAAGTTTGAGAACCGCTGCTTTATAAGACACTAGTATTCACCTTAAAGTACAATTTAAAGACTGAACCATATTAACAAGGCAAGTTATGGTAATTAGGCATGCTATTGCATAACAGTGGTTTTAACACAATCCCCAAGATTTTTAAGGGGCTAATAATGTTGTCCTTAAAATTAATTTTCAAAAATAAATAACTGCTTTTTATTCCAGTCAAACTAAAATAAAAAAGACTTTCTCAAGAAAAAAAATAATTGTAGAAAATACTTTGAAAATGTCCTTGGCCTGTTAAAACATCACGTTTTTCATTTTGTCTTAAACTGTAAGTATGTATGTATATTGTGATTATGGTAAAAAAATTATTGTATTATATCGGCATTTACTTTATGACTTCCCAGAAATATTCCAATTAATTTATATGCTCATCTTACAACAGATATATTCAAATGATTATATTAAAATATGGACAAAAAATTGTGTAATGTCAAGAACAACCCAGTTGTTTATTGGATTGCAAAGTCTGTGCTAACAACTCCCCCTAACTTGAACAACAACGACAAAAAAAAAAAAAACATGTTGTTCAGACAGTAAATGATCACTCTTTTTCCAACCGTAATGCAATACTAACAGACGGCACAAAACAACATACCTCCTGTCAGTGAGCCAGCCAAATGTGATGTTGCCAACAATGTCAATAACGCCTAGTATGGACATGAGGAAGGCAGCATGTTGATGACCGACACCAACATCCAGCGCATATGGAACTAGGTACACAAACGGCAGGCTACACCCACTGGCCAGCAGCAGGAAGGAGCCTGCAAGTACCAGGAAGTCAGGCATGAGCAGGAAGTGGTATTCCTGCATGGACTGAAAGCACCGTTGTTTAGCATCACTTGCAGCACTCCTTGTAGGACCACCATTCAGTGTTGGAGGCTTAACACTGTACCCGCACTCTGAGTCCACTGGAAGAGGACAGGCTTCCTCTTCTTTTAGAATGATAGGCCGTAACAGAGCTCCACACACACACAGGTTCAACACAAACCCCCCTAAAATAAGTAGGGCCCCTCGCCATGAGTAGTGTTCGATTAGCAGCTGCACTACTGGGGCCAGGATGAAGGTCCCAATGCCACTTCCAGACATGGCAATGCCATAAGCCAAAGCTTTCCTCTCACAGAAATAGATACCGACCATGGCAATAGCTGGAGTGTAGCAAAGAGCGAAGCCAAGCCCTATAAAACAAGAGGAAAAAAACACACACACGCTGAGCTTGCTGGAGACTAAATGTGGAATATGGGTCTGTAGGTCAGTGTTTTAATCTTAGGGTGCTTACCAGTTAACAGTCCCAATGTAGCGTAAAGATATTCTAGACTGGTGGCAAAGGAGCTGAGTACTAGTCCTACGGAGGCCAGGAATCCTCCTAGTATTACAGCTATACGGCACGACAACTGATTCCCGATCAGACTTCCAAGTGGAGCTGCAAAAGTAACACGAGAATAAACATGGGTGTTGCGCAAGTCACAAGAAAACTAAAATGAGTAGTCCTTTTTAATATGACAGATTTAATACATTTATATTTTTATGCAGGATGGAATGCATTTAGTTAATCGAATTTTAATGATGTTTCTGTTCATGGAATACTGAACAAAAGTGACAGTTTGTGTCATGATTTTTTATATATATATTTTATGTGACACTGAAGACCAAGCTGCTGAAAATAAATATATTAAAACTAAGAACAGTTATATAAATAGCAACACACACACATAGATAGATAGATAGATAGATAGATAGATAGATAGATAGATAGATAGATAGATAGATAGATAGATAGATAGATAGATAGATAGATAGATAGATAGATAGATAGATAGATAGATAGATAGATAGATAGATAGATAGATAGATAGATAGATAGATAGATAGATAGATAGATAGATATACACACACACATAAAGAAAGATTGTTGGATAGAGTCATCAAATTTTGGAACATTCATTGTGCAGCAAAAATATTTAAACTACATTCACACACAACAGAACACATTTAGTGAATAAATGCATATGATAAAGACAAATGCCCTAATAAATCCTAAACCATTCACTCCTGTAATTGTTACTATTAATACACAAAATATGCTCCCAAGGACAGGACAATAATTTTGTCAGATCATTTTGTCTAACTGATTTATTAACAATCCATAGTAGTCAATAAAATGACGATTTTTTTTTTTAATTTAATAAAAAGTGTCACAGTCGGAACAATTCCATTTTATTAGATGCTAATTTCTCCAGATTTGTAGAAATCTTGAACACATGGAATGCAATGCGATGAAGGACAGAACATTGATCAAACACAATATTGCAAAGTTTTATGTAATAACTGCAATTCTTACGTCTATTGTTTACCTGAGCAATGTAATTCTTAAGATTGTTGTACTGTCAATAGTAGACAGCACTGAGTGTAAGGAAAGCAAACAGTTCTGTTTTTTTGGGTCAAGCTTGCGACACTGGCTTGTCCTCTCAAGATGTTCGCTGTGTGTTGCTGACTTCAAGTTTTGAGCCTCCCACAGCCTGCAAGTCTTTTTTTAGTGTCTTATGTAACATTATTGTCTCAGTTGGACAAAAAAGATTGTTTAAACCAAACTGGTGGTCAATCTAGAAACGTGAATTTGACACTGAATTCTTAAAATTGAAAACCTTTTTAAGACCAGCCGAAAATGATGAGTGATGTGCTAATTTCTGATGGATTAAGAGTCCAATATGATCATTACTTACCACAGAGCATGGTTGTGCAGTCCACTAATGAATGAATCCATGCTGTCCCAGAGTAGTCTTTCGCAAAATGCATCTGAAACTCGACAAAGAATATGGAGATGCATCTAAAAAAAGAGGAAGTGACAACACAATTCTGATCAGACAGATACATAAAAGAGGTGTTTTCAAAGTATCAAGTCACTACTTACATTTTTAAAACAATACCAGAATCTGCCGTGCTATTCACAATACCAAATCAGAAAAAGTTGGGCGAAAATGAAAAATGTACAAACAAAAGAAAGTAGTGATTTCTAAATTAACTTGATTTGTATTTACTTTCAGACAGTACAAAAAACATTATTTAATGTGTTCTTCACTATTTTTATTTTTAATTTTTTTATTAAATAAACAGGTATTTCAACACATTCCAAAAAATAGTTGGAACAGTAAAGCATTTACCACTTTGTAATGTTGCCATTCGTTTTTTTTACAAGACTTAAAAGATAGACTCGCTACAATCCAACCCGCTCTTTAAGATCTCAAAACTCATGGCTTCTGGTAGTACCTAAAATAACAAAATCCAGTAAAGGAGGTCGAGCCTTCTCATTTATGGCTCCTAAACTCTAGAATAGCCTTCCCGATAATGTTCGAGGCTCAGACACACTATCGCAGTTCAAAACTAGATTAAAGACTTATTATTTTAGTAAAGCATACACTTAATGCATCACATAGCGGTGTGATGCAAGAATGTGCTTCACGCAGGTTTTTTGCATCTTGTTTACATGTGCTATGAACAGCAGCCATAGTAAAAATCCTCTCTATTCTCTATTTCCACCTGGGGATACTCATCCCGAGGCCCCCAGAGACTATGCAGCGCCACTGATGTTATCCAAGACCAGCAACAAGATGATCCCGGGGTTTCCATAATCCTGGACCAGGCCGTATCCTGAGCATCTGCTGTGGTGGTCTTGGAGAAGTGAGGAGCATGAGACTGATTCCTGTGACGCTCCGGGGACAGACGAGTCTTTGTTGATGCTCTGCGTTCTCCAGCCTTTAGCAACTAGACTGCAGCTCTGCATAAGACGTTTGGCCATAGGAGAAATAGTCATGCCCAACTAAGCCTGGTTTCTCTAAAGGTTTTTTAATTGTTCACTTTCACCAATGGGTGATTTTTTTTTCTCGCCAATGTCGCCACTAGCTTGCAAGGTTCGGGACCTGTAGAGCTTAGTATTGAATATTGAACCACACTGAACTGAGCTGAACTGAACTTAAACACTGAAAACTGAACTGACACTGTTTCAATTTACTATAATATTCTATGTGAAGCTGCTTTGATACAATCTACATTGTAAAAGCGCTATAGGAATAAAGGTGAATTGAATTGAATATTTAGGGACTGAAGACACCAAATAACAAAGTGTTTTAGGTGTAATTTTGTCCCATTCTTCCTGCAAACAAGTCTTAAAGTGGGGTACTGGGTCTTGGTTGTCGCATTTTGCACTTCAAAATGCTCCACACGTTCTCTATTGAAGATAGGTCAGGTACCTGTCACACCACAAAGTCTTAGGGACTTTTTTTAATGTTTGCCGAGTGTGTTTTTGCCTTGTCTTGTTAAAGCATGCCCTGGAAAAAAGAAAATTGTCCTCCAAAATCTTCATGTACTTTTCAGCATTAATGGTGCCTTCACAGAAATGCAAATTACCTTTGCCAAGGGCACTGACAGCCGCATACCATACCTCACATATTTGTTGACACCTGGCTATCCTTCTTTGCTCCTTACTAGATCATTCTCAGATGCTGCTATTTTACTAAATCATATTTACAATCAGCTGTTGTTATCACCATTTCAAATCACATCATTATTTACCCATTTTACCTGATTACTAGCCCTAAACTGCTCCAGTTCCAACTTTTTTGGAAGGTGTTGCAGGTCTTAATGACAGTAAAAGGTGTATATTTACAAATGAAATGAAGTTGACCAGACAAAACATGAATGTAAATATAGAAATCACTACTATTTTTCCATACTGTTCCAACTTTTTCCATAAATATTATTAAATATTATACCTATTTTTGACATTTGAACATTCTTTTATTCTACAACTTTTTCCATTATTTTCCATATGCATATAACTATGTGGGCCTTAAAATTACAGGGATTTCGGAACCTAGTTTACCATTAGGACATTGTTAAGTGTATTTATTTTATTCCATTTATGAGTGTCCAAACATCTTCCAAATATTGATTTGGCATGGCAGGCGCCTTTTAATTGTTATATTTTCAAATTCTAGTATACCTAGTTACCTTATGTTTGCTACAGTTGTTAATTTTGTGCAAAGAACTACATTTACAGGTACACATTTAGCAGCTACTGACATTTTTGTTTTGGGACAAAACTACACCAAACAAACCAAGTTTGTTTGTTTGTAATAGTCTTTAAAGGACCAAATTGTGACAATTCCCACTAACATCATGCTTTTAAATTTAATGTCATTTACAGCTGGTAACAATGAACAGCCATGCTGATCGTGGGTGTTTGGACATGAAAGCCTATGATGGGGTAATGAGGCACAAGCCTCTGCAGTGTCTGTTCTGCACCTGAACAAACAAAACTGGATCAACCGGGAGGTCATTCAGGTCAAAGCACTCAGTGTGGGTATGACAGCCAGCAACTCTCACGTCTTCCACCACTGAGACCGACGTGTTTGGCCATCAGCCATTAAAGAAGGAGACGTCCTTCAATTAACCGCTCTACAACGACATTGATGAGCTATAGCCAAGTTGCAGACTCAAGGGGTAAAATCTTACACTAGGACTTGAATTAGACAGACATATATGGATGATAAGGACTTTTGAAGGGTTTAAGAGCAAAGAAAATCTCCTTAAGATAAAGAAGGGGTTGAAAAGGCACACTGTCCATCCAAAGACCACCAGCTGCCTTTAAGCTTAAGTGTTTCATCATCTTGAAACTCCTCAGGTTGATAATTACCACTTATCTTAGACAGACTCTGAGAAACAGTCAGAAGTGTGTTTGTTTCAGAGGTGACAGGTCAGATGAGTTTTGTTCTCACCAGCTCGCTTGCAATTTCATCTGCGTAAACCTGTTCCTCAGGTTCTCACATTTCACATTTTTACATGTCACTCGATGTACCTGCACATTTAAATTGAACAACCCAACAATTAAGGGACTTAAACAGCATTGTCAGTACAGCACATTCAATGCCTTGGGAGGAGGGCATTTATTGCTTAATGGAACAGCTTGTTCAAAACAAAATATTTTGCCTCTTACAGTCCATGCAAATATATACTGTACATGTCGTACAAAAACAACTTCAGAAAATAAATGATTACAGAATAAGCAGGCAAATCTTTAAAGTTAACTCAGTCAGAGCAGTTCAAGGAGATGTACAAACAACACCAACTTTCTATCTGAAGGTCTAAAAAGTTGTTTACAAGTCTGTCAAATGTAACCTGACCTCAAGAGCTGCAGTAGAAACGGCAGATAGCACTTGTCACTTTGTGAACCAATGACTCCTTCTAGGTAATTCTCAGCATGGAATGAACTAAATATAGCTTTCTGTTGTGCCTCATGTACTGTACTGTACAAAAGTATGAATTATCTGACAGGTTAACAGATCTGAATAACACTTCCAGACATTTAAACAACAGAGAGTTTATGAAACTGTTATTTTGTTGTTGTGTTTGATATAACATCTATTAAAAAAAAAGTAAAACTAGTGTTTAATAAAGTGATTATTCTTCGTTGGTTACAATAAAAAATAAAAAAGCGAAGGTTAAAAACCTAGCGTAATTGTAACTGCAAAATTAACCTTCATTAAAGCATCATTAAAACAAAGTGTGATGTTAGAAAGTTTTACAATCCAAACAATTGGTTAAAAAACATTTCACACTGTGACTGTTAAAGCTGTTCTAGTTACGCAGGTATGCACAGCAACATATGGTCACCAAAAAAGCTTACCTTGTTACAGCTCGTGTGCAAACAGTTACCACAAAGCAGCCAGCCACAATCATCCATCCCCACCCTCCATCCGGAGGAAGGACCCCTCCTTTCTTCTTTTCCTGAGCCATGTAGTCTGTCCTTCCCACCACTTTAATGGCCATCAAACTCCAAATCTCTCGTTCTCAAACACACGTTGCACCTCTCCGCTGCCACACTCACCAGGCATGGAACTCGTTCTGCAGATGTGGGGCCCACTCAGTGACTTTTCTAAGCGCAAGATGACACACACACAGCAGAACACAGGCAGGAATAAATAACAAGCTCAGCTAAAATGATTAACATGCATTATGGGTGATTCTGGGTTTTCTGTTCTGTAACATGTTCTAGGTTTAGGGCTTCTGTGCGATTTTACAAATGATTCACAGTGATATGTGAACTGATGCATAACTGCTTTCCAAGGGACGTGAGAGAAAACACTTTCTAATTGATAGGTTGCCATATTAACTTGAGACCCTGCAGACCAACTTCATGACCTCTCCGAAGCTTTTGAGAAATTACAAAGTCGAGCTGTTCTTTAAAATGATTTTTAACATTGTTTATTATTCAGACCATCTACTTTTCATAGCCAAATTGACTAATACAAATACTATTATTCAAATATAACCATTTTTAAGACAGTGCTCTGACCATATTTTTTAAACATTGCTGCCTATGTCATGCTTGATCTTCCCAAAAGGGATACATCACATGACTGATAATGAATTCAATTGTTTTGTGGATGTACATAGCAGAGTTAGGCCAAGGCGAGCATTTGTAAATTAAAAAGAATAATTTACGAGTTTCATATGAGAAGAAGGTAATTTATCGGCTAAGAAAGTGATGATTATATAGGATGGTGTTCAGACCACTGCAAATGGTTCAGCCTCTTTCAGTTGCATCAGAATTAGCATTATCATTTTGGACGTAAACAATCAGGAAAATTTTATTTTGAGTTTGAAATTGGGCCATGTGCAATGTTGTACACAATGTACACTTTCAGGATAAGACGATGATGTTTCCTCCCCCCCTATTATGCAACGGAACCTGCAGTTTATGAGTCTTCTAATCTATATATCAGCCCACTGTGGGAACAGTCCCAGTTGGACATTTTTTTTACGCCAGCATAAAAAAAAATACATCCACTAAATAGATTTCTTTGAAGTTAGGTTGACTAATTGAGCCCGTTGTTGATTTCCAGGATTATTTACTGCTCCTTTACTTCTGTTCAAAGTATACCTTTGTCAGTATTTGGCAAATTGTGCATGTAAAAGTGTCTTAAATCTAATCTTTGACATGCTAGTCCAGTCACATGCTAGCACAAGCCTAAAAAAAAAAAAAGAAAAAAAAAAAACTGCTTTGGTGGATTTAAATGTTATCTAAACAACCAATACTGGAGTCAATGTGGGACATAGCATTGTAGTTTTTGCTAAATTGGCAAATTTGCCTATTTATCAAATAGCCATAAACAATTGCAAATGCACTATTATATTTAGCACACAACCCAAAATAGCATTACCCTTAAAATAAAATTTAAACTTAATTATTTTTTTTCTAAAGATTTGTTACTTTAAGGGATAGTTCACAGAAAAAAAAAAAAAAAAAAAAAAATATATATATATATATATATATAAAGTTCTGACATTTACTCTCCCATCTCTTGTTCCAAATCTTTCTGAGCTTCTTTCTCCTGTTAAACACAAAAGAAGATGCTTTGAAGAAAGCAGAACCTGTAACCATTGACTTCCATAACATTTGCTTCTCATACCAAGGTTACAGGTTTTCAGCTTTCTTCAAAATATCTTCTTTTGTGTTCAACAAAAGCAAAACTCACAAAGGTTTACTCGATGGTGACTAAATACTGAGTAAACGAAAATGTTTTTATTTTTTTTTTTGATTGATTGATGATTTAACAAATTAAATTATACAAAGAACGGTTTGTCTCTAAATGACTCCATCAAATCTTAAAGGATTTGATACACTGAGCAAAGATTTTAGTTTATGATTGGCGGAATTTAGGGAAATAGAGTAAATTAACAAACAGTTTTAAAGTTACTTATAGTCAGTGGGACGTTTTTTGGGGGATCATCAAATAAATAGCACATATTTTAAGCACAGTCTTCTAATAATTCAATAATCAAGTTACATGAAGAAAAATTACTTGTCGCCAGAATAACAAAGCAAAACATCAAAAAAGTTCCACTAAATCATTAAACATTTACCATTATTATTATTATTATGTAGCAGAAACTGTGAAAAAAGTTATGTTGTTTTTCTCCTTTAAGTACCCACTTGCATTCACTTGTTGAAACCAGATGTCAAAAGAAAAAAAAAAACAACATATAGCGGTAAATCGAGACACTTACCATTTTATAAAACAACCAAAAAGTCCAAACATTCTCCATTCAACTACTTTGCAATCACACGCACTGGTCCGGGCGCTCTGGACATTCGTTTATTTGGGTTGGTACAGCATGTTCGTTATCATCCTGCGGCTTCCACCAGGGAACAAGTCTGCAGCTGTAGGAACATCACGGCCACGGTACTTCAACGTGTTTAAGCGTGCGAGCTGTGAACCTGTTTACCTCTGTCTCCACTCCCCCTAACACGTGAAAAGAAAATTATGCAAGTATGCACGACAGGCTATCGTGAGGATTTCCTACACAGTTACTTGCAATAGCTGTTGCTTGGGAGCTGCCCATTTTCAGTTGTCAACACCTCTGTTTACAAACGTGTTCAGCATACAAATGTTTGTCATTTAATACTATTTTATGCTACTAGGTCAACCGGGTTTGAATTGGTTAAATGTATTCAGAAATGTTCTGAATTGGATAATGCTCAGTCAGCAGTTCGTATTTACGCAAGAAAAACAAAATTGCTTGTGTTTGTAAATGAGCCAGTTTCTGGGATAAACAGCTTGCCATTAAAATATCTTGAAATATGGAATGCTTTGACATGAATATTAGGAAATGTACCTTACACGCGCTCTGTAATATATTTGAATCAGTCTTTTATTCGCTCAATAACACACATACATTGTTGACATCAAATATGGTCAATGTAAACTAGAGCTATAGAGGTTTCTTTCCGACTCGGACGTCAAGAAAATCAAGGAGAAATGTCGTAACTTGTTAAGTCCAATCAAGGTGTAAAGTTTTTGAACGACAGTGTATTTGGGATACAATTTACTTTTAGGTGGGTGGGGGTTAAATCCACTTTAAAGGCTACTTTAATTTTTATATTTAACAGATCGTCAGTCAGTTTGCTGGGAATATTTACTTAACAGTATCGGTTTCAGGTTTCCTAGTAGCCTACTAATTGAATACTCACTGTGGGCTATTAATAGCCCATATCCCAATGGAATTGTAATGCCACCAATAACAATTGGATGTCATGGTAAGGCTAGTGACAAGCAGAAAAGGAATGAGTACCACTGACCGAGATTTTTTCAGATATAATGTATAAAAACTAGTATGCAACTATAGTTGAAGTATAGACGAAAGTAAAATAAAATAAATAAATAAAACATAACCATTGTTCATAATTAACACATTTATTAGATATTTACAAAATCGTTTATTAACAAATGAAGTTAGTTTTCAAATGATAGAACTCAAAATCAATATAAAAATCTCTCAGTGACATGGATTTCAGACCTGTTCATTCTTTAAGTGAATCAGGGGTTCATATTCGATCAAATATTACACCATAAAGATTACATTTAAGATCTGTGTAGTGATGCTGTTTGACACTGAACACTGAATCAACTGAATTTAAAAGATTTCCAGTAAAGTTACACTGACTCAGATCACATATCAGACACATCTGTCAGGAGATTAAGGATATTTGCATGTAACATTTAACATCTGGTTATCTAAAATTATGCAATTTTGAAATCTAGTTATCTAAAATTATGCAATTTGTAAAGACATGATTTAGCTCTGGAAAAAGTTTATAATTCAGCTGTAATGGCCATTTCGAATTTAGAACATGCTGCCTGAAAACTGGGAATACAGTTTGGAACAGTCAAAATACATTTATGGAAAGAAAGAAAGAAAGAAAGAAAGGTTACGTACAGTTGAACATATAGGGCAAAGAATGAACATGCTTTAACATTTTGCTGGCTTACAAGAACAAAACCTGCTAAAAAAAGCAATTCGACTACATTAGATGAAGTAGTCCATTCAAGTGAAACGATGACACCCCTGTTCAGAAATCATCTACATGCTTGCTTTGCATTAGCTCAGTTCAAATACAATGTACCGACATGCATTCAGTCTGATGTGGCATATAGGAAAAAGCCAAACAACAAAAAAAGAACATCTCTGAAATATACTGTTAAGGACTGAAGTATACACTGACATCTGGATTCAGCATTAGCAACAATACAGAGGATACAGAGATAAAGCCTTGTCTCCATCAGTGAAAGGCACCCCGTAACCATTGGAAGTTACTTTTGTGGCTCAAAGAGATGTTGGGGACGGGGGGGGGGGGGGGGGGGGGGATGCCATAGTGCATAATCCAGACATCCAAATACAAAATGGCACCCCACTGCATAAGGCAATTCTAAGGGCTGAGCAGAGAAAGTAAAGCATGAATGGGCAAGAAAAAGGCAAAGATCTGGAGACTAATGTGATGCAAGAGATGTTACTGCAGCTAGAAGACACTTTAATGTCAGCACAGGTCTGATGTTGAGCTACAGTAACAACTACTACCGCAGGTTCAGTACAAACAAATAAGTGAGTATTATTCAGATCCTCTAATAGAAATTGCATCTTATTCCTCATCAATTTCTCTTAGTTTTGGTCTTTCCTGCATTCAAAATGATCAACAACAACAAAATCTGCAAACTTAAACTATTAGCTTATTTTTTATAGAAGTGAATGTCTCTTGAGTTCACATTAACAGTGATGAGGCTAAATCAGCATATTTAAAAATGCTATGGCTCAAAGGAAGGGAAAGGCAATGCATTTTATTCTAGTAAGAACTTATATTTTTAATCTTACATATTTAGACCGATTGCAACTTTTAAGAATTTTAGGATTATGTGGTTAACTTGCATTTGGTCAACAACCTGGAGCATTCAGAGTCAAAATGACTATGATTATTATTATTATTAAAGGTTAAACAGTGTTCAGGCATAAAGTTAATGAACCTCATGTTAATCTGTTAGGGGGGAAAAAAAGGCAAAATATTTTCAGTAACAGGTAACGTTCAAACTGAAAATGTTTAAAGGATGAAGGCATTTGGAAGAAGGTTTGACAGATATTAAGTAAAACTTGAGACATCACTGCATAAGGGTATGAAAATGACAAGAGATGGTTTGTGCAAATGTTAAACTGAATGAAACTTATGTTTCTAATCTTACATATTCAGACCGATTACAATTTTTAAGAATTTTAGGAGCATGTGGTTAACTTGCATTTAGTCAACAACCTGGAGCATTCAGAGTCAAACTGACTATGTTTATTATGATTATTATTATTATTAAAGGTTAAACGGTGTTTAGGCATAAAGTTAATGAACATGTTAATCCGTGAGGGGGAAAAAAGGCAAAATATTTTCAGTAACAGGTGACGTTCAAACTGAAAATGTTTAAAGGATGAAGGCATTTGGAAGAAGGTTTGACAGATATCAAGTAAAACTTGAGACATCACTGCATAATGGTATGATGACAAGAGATGGTTTGTGCAAATGTCAAGTTAAATAAAAACATGATATACTACAGTGTATATACACAGGGTAAACTGTTAACACATTCAGACCAGAGAAATCTCAGCATTATGGACCGTAAAATCCTATAAAATTCATCACGGGACTTACTGTATGTAGTGAACTATGAGAATTCTCCATCTGATGAAGATACTGTTTTCCAGTCAATATTGACAATTTGGTCCCAACACAATTAGTGTCAGCTTAGATGCATATTCTCTGTTCATTAGACAGACCAGTTCAAAGAGGTAAATATATTAGAAATCAGACATGACAGTACTCAACAATCTACTAAACACAAAAGGCCCAATCAAGATAAAAAGAGACCTATGTCTGACCTACGTTTTTTGTTTGTTTGTAATTATTTTTTTTGCTATTCTCTAAAAGGGTTCAGATAAAAGATTTATATGATTGAAAAATGACTGAAATTCAATTGGCATTTGCTGTATTATTTACAAAAGGAGAAATTTGAACTCGTGCCTTAAAATGCTTATTAATACAACTTTAGCCTTTTTAATTTAATGCGGATATGATGAATGCTTAGATGTGACTAGAACAGGAAAGGCAAAATCCTATGTAAATAACACTTATGGAACACTCATCATCATTTTATGAGTAATCTGATTAGAGGGGAAGGTTAATTTATACAGCAGACTGTCCCACAAGTAGACATTATACTCCCCCTCCAAACCCTTTTCATATGTTATGATTATTTTCATAAAGCTCAGGGTGTAGAGAGAGCATACAGGCATACAATTAGTGTCCTAAATCATCATCACCTCAAATCATCGATACACGGCAAAGGCACAGCTGTGCTGGCTTTGTAGCAGTGGTGATGAGGAACAGTTAGCATGAGGTGCAGCTAATCACAATGCTAAATTCTATGCGCTGCTGTTACATCACCTCCTCTTGGTCACCTACTCACATCTTGAGCATAGAAGAGCCGATGTGTCGATGATTTGAAGCTAAATGGAAACTCGGTCACATTATTAAATGGCTTATCCTTATTAGGGGATGTGGCTTTCCTGAAATCTTACAGCAGCTTCTGGTTTGTAGGTTGGGTTTTCTTCAGTGTCTCAGGAATCTTCTGTCATCTTCAGCAGCTCTAGGAAGGCACCGACAGCTCCAAAATAACCCTGCAGCACAGAAGCACAACATTTTATTATGTTTCCATTACATGCATGCATTGCTCTTTTCAATAGCATCTGATAAGACCTCATTTCTTTGAGTAATTAATGCTTTTATTCAGAAAGGGTATTAAAAGAGGAAGACATTTATAATGGTACAAAAACCTCTAAGTGAAATAGGTGCTGTTTGTTTGAATTGCCGATTTAAGAAATATACTAAACATAAATTTTATATAGTGTTTTTCCGTATTTTTTATATTTTGAAAAACAAATAACTTTTAAAACTCTCTTGTTATGTGATATTGCTGATGCAAAAGTTGATATTGTGTTCAAAGACATATGTATATATATATATATATATATATATATATATATATATATATATATATATATATATATACACACACACACAACATATAGAGTGAAATAATATTCTAGTTATTTGTGTTAATCTGACACCTGGTGCTAATTTGTTTAATTATCTGGCAACCCCTATTTAACTGGCAGCCTAATTTCCAGTTGCACTGCCTATGCAAAATGGTGGGCCATTTTAAAGTGACTGAAAGCCTCCGGCAGCAGGTTGTCCAGATAAAGACTAAGGGGATGACCCTATCAGCCATAGCAAGACAAGTTGGTCATTCCAAATCTGTGATTTCAAGGAATATTGAATCTTTACAACATCACAAACTCATTCAAGTCCCCCCAAGAAGGCTGGTCGTCCACAGAAGACAAATACAAGGGTGGACAGAATACTGTGGAAGATTTTAATGGGCAATCGTTTCCACACTGCAGCTGGAATTGTTTACCAGTTTATCACTGAACAGGGTAAGGATGTATCTCGTCATACAGTATCTTGACGTTTAAGAGCATTTCAGCTGAAAGCCCTCTCTGCAGTGACCAAACTTCTCATTAGCAGGAAGAATCAAAAGGCTAGACTAAGCTTTGCTGAGGAGCATGCTGTGTGGACAGAGGAGAACTGATCCAAAGTTCACTTCAGTGATGAAAGCAAGTTTAATTTATTTGGGTCCGATGGGAAACATTATGTTTGTTGACAAACTGGAGAAAGGCTGAACTTAACGTGTGTAAAGAAGTCAGTGAATGCAAATGTTTATCGGAACCTTCTTCAACACCATATGATTCCTTCCCTGCTTTCACCACCCAGTCAGCCCGCAGTGTTCATGCAGGACAACGCTCCATGTCACACAGCAAAACGGGTAAAGCAGTTGTGACATGGCCTGCCCAGAGTTCTGATCCAAACCAAATAGAGAACCTCTGGAATATCTTTGGGGACAAAGTTATGGCCAAGAAACCCATTACAATCACTGAACTGTGGAGGACACTGAAAGAAGAGTGGACCAAAATCACACCAGAGCAGTGTAGTGCTGTAATGTGGCCGCAGGTGTGCTGAAGTAATTTAGAGCAGAGGACTGTACACTTCATGCTAACTGCTGACTGTTATAAACTTCAGAAAATTTAGTTGTAATCTTTTTTCCATGCTACAGTCATTGTTGTTCTCTAATTTTGATCAGTGTGTTTTCTGCAAAATATTTTTTTGTTGTTGAAATGCCTTAGTTATTGTGGGGAAAAGGTTTTCTAGTGGCATGGTATAGACGGGACAAAACTCCTTTAACTGTTGAGTAGTGAAGATGACATTATTTTAGAATTGTTCAATTATTTATAAATTGTTCTCTAATTTTGATCACCCGAGCATCTTTCCTTAAAATATTTAAACAACATCAAGTCTATGGGTAAATATTGAAACTAACACAAGGGGGAGCTAAATGTCCCATTTATGTGACATGCATAGACCACTGCAAGAATATGAATTTAATTTAAACTTTTAAACAGTTTAAACGAGCTTCTTCCAACAGTACTTGCACTTTTCTTACTTTTAAATATATTTAAACATTTGCAATTTATCATAGATATGGCAATAGCCATTTAATGGCCTCCTCGTTTATCTTTTTTGGGATAAACTCACATGCAACAGGTGTTCATTTTCATCTTGCACCCCAATATTTAAATCAACTCATAGCAACAACCTTCTCTGCTATTTTTCAAATATGAACTTTCTATTTCTGACTCTCAGAAATTAACAAGATTATTTTTATTTTTTATTATTAACAGGATTGTTACTTATTTAGCCATTTACAGAATGATGTAGAAATACATGCATTCAATTAAACAACAAAAATAATTAAAGAATGACTTGTTTCAATATGTCTTTTTTTAAAATATAAAGTTAAATTTAAGAGAAATCATTAATTTTACCCAATTTTTAAAGACTTTAAAGTTAACTAAAAACTCTTAAAAGTCAAATGAAATTGTTGTAGTCTATTTAAATAATTGTTTTTGAACAAACATTATCTTGACTCGCTGAAAAAATGAAAAAAGTAAAGAAGAAAAAACATACTTCATGTTCTAAGAAAAGAGCTTTCAGTTGTCCATCAGACCAGAAGTCCATGGCATAGGCCAGCAGCTTAGTTGAAATGGTGTTGATCCGAAGGAAATTTCCAACAAAAACCACTTTATCGATATTCTGAAGAACAATAAACATAAGCAGACAGTCAGAAGAAGCAAGCAGTAATATTGCTTTATTTAAAATGTAAAGAAAAACATCCAGATTACACATTGACATTAAAAACAAAAAACGTTTATCGTGTGGCTGTTCAGTGTGCTGTGATAGCCCTGTACAATGCTGCTTGATCTCCATGCCACAAGACAACACTGTAAAGAAGCTCAGAGCACACAGAGTTCATTGATCTTGATATTGTGCTTCAGAATAATGACCACTGCATTTAACTTACGTACTTTGAAATGAACAAATATCAATTAGTTTTTTTTCAACTGCTAATAAGCATTGTGCAATAGTTTACTAAAGCCACATTTTCAAAACCGTACACACAGTGTGCACTTTACCAATATGACTCTTGACCAAACTGTACAGCTCACCTCTAAAACTCACCCAGACCAACACAACAGTTCATATACGTCTCAAAATAAGCATGTTTCACCAAATCACTGACAACAACATACCTTTCACTGACCTAAAAGCACCAACATTGCTCAGTATAGAGTCCCCATCAATACACTGGGGAGTTAGGACATACACCGACGTCGGGTTGAGCAATGCCTGCTGGTCTCACTAACACCACTTCTGGAAGCAAGCTAGCTTTCCCATGTGGTCTCCCAGCCAGGTACTGACCAGGTGCAGCCCTGTTTAGATTCAATGGGTGACCATGTAAGAGTTGCAGAGAGCTAGGTGCTGGCGATAACTGATTTTTGAAGTTTGAATGTATTTTTCACACCTATCCATGTGTCATTTTACCTTTTCACTGTCTTGAACATGCTAAAGATTGTGTGATAAGACTGAAAAAAAGAAATTGCAAACATGGGTAAAAACTTAAACAGTTTCTCAATTACTTCAGCAAATAGTTCAAAACATTCGCTAAACTGCAAGTTAGAGATGCGAGCTTTGGATTGTACAACAAAATTCCTGCCATGCAATATAATGCACATCTAAACATAGGTACTTATGAAAATACAGACATCGACATCATGCACTACTGATATAACTGAAACAGTGGAGCCAATGGTTTACAATATGGTCAAGAAAAAAAACGGAAGTTAAAGTAGTTTTTCAGCTGAAATTGCAATCAGCATTTTATTTTAAAGCACAAAATGCATGACATTTACCAGAAGTCTATTGGTTAGCATGCAGAAAAATGTGTTGAAAATGCTGCTTGTTGTGTATGAATGACAAAAGTGTTTGGCATTTTTGAAAAGTTTGCACACAGTTTGCTCTGCTCAGACTGTCTGGCTGATTGTGTGAACAGTTATGTAAACGTGGCTTCAGTATTGCAAAATGCATGTTAACGGTTGAAAAGAAAAACTGTAATGTGGTTGGAAAGTGAAAACACTGATAGATGAGCTTTAGCGATAAGAGAAAAATATTGCCAAACCTCGTTCACTGCACACATGCGAGCGATGGAGCCAATGTTGTTTGTTATGGTGACAAGAGTCGCCCTGGCCAGGTCTTCTTTACTTATACTATCGCGTTTCTCCTTGCTCATCATATGACAAAAACTAATAAATTAAAGGACAAAAACAAACTTGAAGAAAATCACAAACAATAGTGTTTTTACATAGAAATTCAGGCAAATATGTCTACCTAGATGCAACGGCCGAACCCTGAAGGCCAAATCGTTCATAATCGCCTCCATAAATATCCTTCACTAGTTTGTCCACGTTAGTGCTGTCCCCTTTAGCCGCCATTTCTAATGCCTCCTCAAATGTTTCACAGCCAGTCAGCAAGCAGCACAGGCCAAGAAAGGTACCACCTCCTAAACTGAACCACAACAATTGGAGAAAATTTACATCATAGTAGTTAAGGAATTTTGCATCGTTTTAAGTTTATAACAGATCTCTACAACTTTAATTTTTAAATCTAAATATAGATTTTAAAATCTAAATATAGGTATTTCTATTGCAAATTAGTAAAAAACAGACTTTTCCCAAATCCATTTCCTATATTGTATATATTGTATACAGTGCACTACATCAGGGCTCATTTTATAGTGGTGTCTAAATTCTGAGTGTGTACTGTAATTGTTCACTCGTTTATACTCACAATGCACTCTGATTTCAAGTGTATATTAATCTTAATATGTGTTTAAGAAGGGTTAGAGATACTAAAAATTATAAAATTTACACTGATGTTGTTCTGATTGTTCCAAAAATATTCATTGTATCATATATACCATCAGCGGGAACATACATAATGACGCACATGTAAGAAACTGAGTTAACTTAATTTAATTTACTCCTTTGTAGCAAAAGAAAGAAAGAAGAAAAAGAATCAACTTCAATACTCTTTATAGTTGTGCTATTGTAAGAAACCCTGCACGTGATAATAAATCAAAACATTGCGTTCAAAAAAAAATGTTTTATTAATTTTTGGCAATTTTTTTAAAAGCAATTTTTTTTTAATTCTCCACAGACTCTAGATTTTATTATTATTTACTGAAGTTTAATTATTTTTCAAATATTTCCCAAGGGATGTTTAACAGAGCAAGAACATTTTTCCATTATTCACAGCATTTCCCATTATTTTTTTCTTCAGGAGAAAGTCTTGTTTGTTTTATTTCAGCTACAATAAAAGTAGTATTTACTTTTTTAAAGCCATTTTAAGGTCAATATTATTAGCCCCCTTAAGCAATATTTATTTTCGATTGTCTACGAAACAAGCCATGGTTTTACAATAACTTGCCTTATTACCTTTACTTGCCTAGTTAACCTAATTAATATTAATATTAAATTGAACTAGTAGGCTGAATACTAGTATCTTGAAAAATAGCTAGTAAAATAGTATGTCCGATCACCATGGCAAAGATCAAAGAAATCAGTAATTATTAGAAATTTATTATTAAAACTATTATGTTTATTTTTAGTAATTGGTTGAAAAAAAAATCTCTGTTCCATTAAACAGAAATTGGGAAAAAATATACAATAACTAACTAAATATCCATCCATCCATCAATCCATTCATCTATATAAATAAAAGAGTGGTTTTTTTATTGACCGCAGACTGTTGTCTAATTACTTGCCTTGATTAACCTAGTCTTCAAACAGTATGTTTAACTGAACACTGGTATCTTGCCAAATGCATAGTTAACTATTATGTACTGTCATTATGGCAAAGATCATTTTTTATTAATTATTATATTTAAAAATGTGTTGAAAACATGGTGTCTCCATTAAACAGCACTTGGGAAATTTTAGGCAAAATATATATATATATATCAATTTCACAAGAAGGCCAAACATATTGTCTTCAACTGGCATATGGTCCTGTGATAAAATATCTGTAAATGTATATAATTAGTGAAAATAAGCAACATATCTCCTGCAATACAAGTCTGATTTTCATTACATTACTTATAAGTGATTTGTACAAGCAGTGATTAAAGAAAAAAAACAAAACGTTTTGGTACAAAAAAAAAAGACGCCAGAATTTACCTGGTGCCTGTGACCCGCTTGTAATCATCCTTGGAATAGACGGCCAGGATACTAACGCCAGAGCCAATATTTACCAGCAACATAGGGAAAGGGTTCTCCAGGCTAAATGGCCTCTTGACACAGTTTTCAGGTTCAGATGGATTTTGGAAAAAATAACATTCTGGATGGCCATTGAACCCGACTGAATCAACGTACAGCAGACCTTGAATAAGACAATCTAGTTCATCCAACTTCTGCAGCTCCAAATCAGCCACCTGCAGGAAGTAAATGCACAATTATAAACGTGATCACTCGGTCCTGGCGGGCCGGTGTCCTGCAGATTTTAGCTCCAAGTTGCTTTAACACACCTGCAAGGATGTTTTTAGAAAGCCTAGTAAGAGCTTGATTAGCTAGCCCAGGTGTGTCTGATTGGGGTTGGAACTAAACTTTGCAGGACACCGGCCCTACAGGACTGAGTTTGGAACACCCCTGTTCTAAAGTATCTGATGTTATCCCTTTCTTTCCTGATAACAGTAAAAGATAAGTGGCTATAATAAGTCATTATATCAATAAAACACTGGCTATGGATTAGCATATTTTTTAACATTCAAATTTTGTGAATCCCATTATTATATCACCAGATCACATACCGTTCTGAAGTCATCCTCAAATTTGTACGCCCCCCCACCGGTGGCGCATAGAGTGGTGTGCAGACTAGAGAAGTTCTTGTCTCGGCCCATTTGGATAAAGCGGTGCATGTCTTGTGTGGGGAACCGAATGAAGTGCAGGTTGCCTTTGCGGCCGCACATGGTGAGGTTCTTCAACTCCAGGTGAACATCACGGATTCCAGTGTTTCCATAGGCAACGTTGGATGTCAGGTACCAGCGGATGCTCTTCAGGCTCTCCACTTCCTCTTGTTCTTCTTCAGCTGTTATGTCCTTGGGCTCAAAATAAACCAGCTTCACCAAGGTGCCTCCAATATCCATGCCAAACCACGGAAAGGCTGAAAAAAATAAAAATAAAAATTTTGGAAAAATAAAAAATTATTATAATTTCCAAACAAGAATAAAATAATTGTATGTGGTGCAGAGGAGAGTGAGTGAAACAGGGCTTTTATGAATGGATTATTTTTCATGTTTTATATTTACTGTAAGGAGCATATTAAATAATGCTGTCTGGTATCAATGCATTAAGAAAGCTAAAGTTTTTATTATTATTATTCTTTGGGGTATAAAAAGAAGTTCTTGAGAAGCAGTATACCATTAGTGAACATTCTGCCACCACTTGTGCTGCTGCTGAGGAATAGTTTTAATATATGCTGACTTTCTGTTAATAAAAAAATCAAGATTTTGTTGGCAGTCTAATACTGTTTTGGATAGATTGAATTTGAAATGATGTTACACCAGTTTATTTTTCGATTTAGCTTGAAGTTAATTAGGGACTTTTCATTGCTTGTATTCAGTTTTGGTTTGACAGGACCGAACTAGCTGAATGCCACTTTGCCACTAAAACCAGTCTAACAATAAACTGATCTAACACAATTCTAAATTGAAACAAGCTTAAAAAAAAAAAAAAAAATATATATATATATATATATATATATATATATATATATATATATATATATATATATATATATATATATAGTCAGACTTTAACATGTTCATAACATAATTTGCATTTGGTAAAAATTGCTTTGAATGTCATAAATTCCTGTGTAATACCGCAGAGTGGCTTTGAAACCATCTTTTTTGGTATAAAGGGTAATAAAAAAGGTGACTAGACTTCAAATTTTTTGACTGCTGTAATAGAGTTGAAAGAGAGATTATTTAGGTGTATTCACACCGTGGCTTATTTGTTGCCATGGCAATAGGGGTTTTCAAAAAGAATGCCTGGTGATTCATAGAAATATCCTGTCTTTAAAGTAAAAGTTACACATCAGATTAAGAATCTATCAATAATTAATATACAATCTTGGTAAAACAGCTAAGACTTACTCTACCGAACCATTTCATGTATTAGAGTATTCTATTTATAATCTAAAATAGTATGGTTGAGTGGACTAAATCTTAGTGGTCTATACCAAGATCTAAACACAGACTCCCTGAACTAATCAATGACATGAGAATCTACCTACAATGCCATTTCACTAAATATAATGATTTACCATTGCCGAGAGAGATTCTCATGTAACTGATTAGTTCAGGCAGTCTGTGTTTAGATCAGTAATGATAATTTAACTGGCAGACATGCATATAGGTGAAAGGTGTGTGTACTTCTTGTCTCAGAGAACAAAGTACTCTTGAAGTTACCAAGACCACAGTGACACTACAGCAGTTGAAATGTAAGGTTACACTAGTTCACAGCCAACAACCCTACAAGTGTTAAAACTATGCAGGGCTTTTTATTCATAATTTAAAAATATATATGAAAAGAAATAATACATTTTGTTGCATGTTGGAGAGTAAAATTGCTGTTACTGCAACTTCTTCCATCTAATGATTTGTATGTCTGACAGCAGACTGTAAAAAAGCTTATTTTTTTATATGTTCTCAATTTCGCACACTGGTTTCATTGGTTAAACAATATTATGTAATAACTTACCTGGCTTCTTCACAATAAGCTTCATACTTTCAGTTGAGTTGATGCAGAAACTATTATGAATACGCAGTGATAAAATCTGTATATTTCATTCAAATGCTGCTGTCATAAGAAAAGCCGAGTTCATATCACCTGACAGGTGTGCTTTTGTCTTTTATGTTAATTTCATGAGGACTGTCAAAGGCTGCGATTTCATACGAAGCGATTTCCACACCCCTTTGTGTGATCCTTCCCTCTCATTGGCTGAGCACAAACGTCCTTCATATCTGGCGTGTTTTGGCCACCCCCCCCCCCCCGACTCCGATCAGACCAATGAAATCCGCACAGCGAACATCACATTGATTTCACAACACTCCATAAGCCGGTGTTTCAAAACAAATAAACCCTTTACTACAGGCACAATTGAAATGCGTTTAAAACTTAAATAATTAAAAACAATCCCTTTATTAAATTTTAGGTACATTAGAAAAAAACGCAAAGAGAATATTGCAATTTAGGGTCATCACTTCCGGGAGTTCATGACACGAAAATCATCTTCACGTTTTTGGTACAAACATAAATAACTGTTAAGTAGCTAAGTTAAATCGAAAAGAAAGGAAGAAGACGTCGACGACGACGAAGAAGAAAAGGCGTTGCTAGAAACACTTTAACCGAAAAGTCCCAAAATAAAACGGGAATTTTAACGTAACATGACACTAAAATTATAATGACTATGCTAAAAGAATAGTAATAATGTCTATTTGTATCGCCCAAAATAACATCTATGTTTAGTTTTGTTGTACTCGTTTCTCAACCAAAGTAAAGAACAAACCATACCTCGGAATACATATTTACACTATGTTGTGCGATATTTCATGGTTGAATTTAAAGTACATTTAATTGTATTAATAAAATGCTAAAAACTCGACGTACGTGGTCTGTTCTTCTTTCCCGAATCCACTCGTCTTCTGAGTCTGCAGCGCTTCGCAGGCGAACCATTGTTGTGTACATCCTGATGAAGATGGTGGAAATTTTCAATACCATTATGGCCACCGCTACTGTCACTAGTACCCAGACCACCTCCGTTGGACGAAATGCAATCGCCGTTACCCGACTGTGCGGGGTGAAATCCGTTTACTAAACCTTTTTTGTAGTGCGTCGTTCCGTTTTGATCGGATGTTTCTTCATTTTCCATTATTTCACGCAGCAAATGTGAACACTCAGAAGACAGACAGCTGATAACGACTCGACGATTCGAAGGCGCTTCAAAATGTAGTATTGTTTGTCAGAATTCTACATATATGCTGATGTGTTGCGAAGAGGCGAAGACAATAGAGAGGTCTTCAACATCTTATTCGAGGTCACTGTCGGTCATTTCTTCTTTACACGCTGGGCTGTTTCCGAGTCAAACAGCCGGTATGCGACGTCACTAAGGAAAATGCCTCCACTTCCTTTGCTGAAACGTCATGTTTCAGAGCCGCCTACTTACATACAGGCTACTGCTTATTATTACTGTATTTTACGTGTATTTAAAAGCTGAAAACACCCCCGATTTTTTTTAAATAACGTCAAATAAATAGTGTAAATTTTAGATCACCTGGATTTAAAGTGTTTATGGCATGCCATTTTATAGTAACTCCATTGTAAAAGATGGATTGATTTTGTACCTTTTTATTGATCATTCATTCATTTTCTTTTCAGCTTTAGTCCCTTTACTAATCAGGGGTCTTCACAGTGGAAAAAACGCCAACTTATCTAGCATGTGTTTTATGCAGCGGATGCCCTTCCAGCCAGAACCTCAGCACTGGGAATTTATTAATCATTATTATTATTAATACTATTTATTGATTAACTTTGTTCTTTGCTGTCAAACCATGTGCAAAAAAGTGCACTAAGCAGGATATGTGCACAAATACTTATTCTACATCTTTAAATAGCCTATGTGAAGAGGTGAAGATATGGAAGCAAGGTTTACATGGAAATCATTGTTCTTATTAGCCTGCATCATTATAGTTTGCCAATACCTTGGATCAAACAAGAAAAGAAAATAAATTAATGACCAATACTAAGCAAAGTTATTTTGTCATATTTTTTTTTCACAATTTTCTGCTTACATTTTTATACATTAAAAATGTTTTAAAGAAAATTGAAAAATTTTATGCCACCTGTGCATCCAGATTTTTTTGGTCCCTTGTCTAGGCTATTATTTACTGTTTTTCATGATCTCACATCTAAATCCGGTAAATACGTGATACAATATTTTTACTCCAGAAAGACAGAATAATCAAGCCACCATCGCATTTAAAGTTAATATGAGCCATTGTTAATAGTAAGTAACATTCAAACTAGTCTTTTCTCAGATCTCTGCATCCCAGCGAATATGTATTAAGGTAATGCACACTTTATTTCAATTAGAAACACATGTCCATGATCTAAACACTAATTCAGTACTAAAATGGTTACTATGATTTACCTTGCCACCTGCCAATTCAGTTTTGTTGCTTTGTATATTAAGTAATTTCTCCCTGTACCTAATTTTGAAAATGTGCCATGCAGTTTATTTAATCATATATTTAAATTTACCAACTTCCAAATGATGAAAATAACATGCGTTTCTCTCTAAACTGCACAAAAAGAGGCAGTGACTGAAGAGCTAGCCAGAGACATAGCGGCACATTAGAAAGAGATAGCAGGACACATCATATGTACATTAAGTTATAACTATTTAAGTTATTATAACATTCACTTGTACCTTTAACTACTGATTAGTTAAGTATTTTACAATTTTTATTCAATATTGTATTTAAAAAATAGATGAAGAGATCTAAGGGTGTTTTGGGCAACTGGAGAAGTTCTAATATATTAATAGCTCATGGACTTTGAATGGAAAAGGCAGTTTCCACATATGCCAATGGTGGCTGCAGTAGATGCATGAGTTCAGTTTTGACCTGAACCTTAGCCAAATTTTGACATAGTGATGCCTTACGTGTTTTTATAGAAGACACTTGCTCAAAATATATTTTCAGTGTTCCAAACTAAAACCATGACACTTTATTAAACAAAAGAAAAAATAACAAAGTAAGACAACTACATATCATAGCACTAACATCAGAACAACTTGATAAAATAGAAGAAATAAAAACACATTAAAATAGAGAAACAATAAACGTGACTTTTTCAGAATGCAGAGAAGGCTTCAGTGGCCTTACATTAGGGGATAGCTGGCCTTTGTCGCAACGCCACAGTGATTGTTTTTGTCTTTTGCCATGTAGATGTAGCCTTTGTCACCCCATTTGTCAGACCAGCTAAAAAAATTGAAAGAAATAATAAAATATGAAAACATGCAATCAAGCTTGTGCCCGCAAAACTAAAGATTGTTTGCATCATACCTGTTCTTCACAATCCAGTATCTATTCCCAGCAACATCAGCACCCTGATAACCATAGCCAACCACCAAGACTGCATGATCAAGTCGACTACTGCTACATGCTCTCTCATAATAGATGCCTAAAGATCAGAATATTAGGAGTTAAGGCAAAGTAAGTTCAGTAATAAGTTTGTAATAATTGTATAAACAACCATTTTAGCAAATATTGAATTAAAACTAGAGTTGAGGGATATCAGACACCTACCAGACTGATAGAACTGTAGGGATTGATGTGATGCGTCAATAGCAACAGATACAGGACCCACAGCAGCAACAGCATTCATCAGAGCAGGCTCATTACCACTGGGGATGTCCACGAATCCGGTGATTTTAGCTACATTAAAACGGGGGTCATACCGGCATGGCAGATCATCCTGCAAGAACAAAGTTAAAATAAGAAAAAAGTGGTACATTGAAGTCTTAAAATACTTAATGATCTTCATTCAAAGAGTTTAAAAAACTAAAATGACATTTTTCCACAATCTGCAAATACAGCAGTTTAGGCCCATATCTTCAAAAGAAAATGTTTCATTGCTCAGAAACCGTCACAATATGATTCTTACCCTTGCAAGATAAGGGTATGACTGCTCAGAATCCAGCCCCTTGTTTTCTTTAACATACTGGAAGGCCTGGTCCATGAGGCCTCCATTACACCCTTGATTGCCCTGTGGTCTGGAACAGTCCACCAAGTTTTGCTCACTCATAGAAATCAGCTTTCCAGTTTTACGGAAGAGCTGACCTTCCAAGGCACCCGTTGAACTGAAAGACCAGCAAGATCCACATTGTTTCTAAAACCACAAAACAGAAGAGTCACAAAACAGTAAAGCTACAGATACACATACTGACATTTAATAGCCATTTATACATTAAACTGGGTTTACCAGATCAACTGTAAATAGATCAATTGTAATAGATGCAACTATAGGTCCTAATTTAGCATAAAACATTTGCAGTTTTCAGTGACTTTAAACTCACCTGGTCTTTGACAGGAGTAACATAGCCCCTCTGTCTCCAGTCAACCTGTTGTGGGGCTGCAAAAAAGCTGGGTTCCATGAACAACGGGCCCTGTGACGTCTGGTTGGGGTCATGCTTATAACCATTCATTGCCTGTCTGAACTCCTCATTTGTCTATTAAAGAAATTGTAGTGAAATGTTAATAAAACAGTCTTACAAATAGTACTTTAAAAGGTATCGATAGCACCTCAAATTGAGAATTAAAGTAATTTTGCAGAAAAACTTTTAGAGCACACAGGGCTTAAATCTCTAATCTAGGATGTTGTTGACTGTAATTGAATCATTTATTAAACAACAACATTCTGATCTGGTTTCACACTTATAAATTTTGCATTTTGATTGTTTTTTTTTTCTCTTTTTGACCATTTGGATTGTATAAAGCAATATAGATAGAGAAATAAATGACTGTAATTGACTGTAATACTAAACTGCTCACCATGTCACCAAATTGATTCATTCCCATTTTAAAGGTGTGATTTCCATAGGAATACTCAAAGTTGTGTTGCTCAATTTTTCTCAAGTTCTCCTCCCAAATCATTCTCCTCCCGACCTCTACGTCCTGGAGTAGAAAGTAGATACAGTATCAGCTATTGCAAAGCACCAGTTCAACATAAACACATGCACTGTATCATTCATTCATGTTAAGCTGATACATGGCTACAGACTACAGTCTTCCCACCTCATGATAGCTTTTTCCATGCTGGCTCTTCCAGGAGTTCCAGTGGTCGTCTAACTGGATGTCTATAGATGGAGCAGTGAACACTGCACTTATGCACAGCGTGATGATCAAAGCAAACATCATTCTGCCTGGAAGACTAACAGAAAAAAAACACAAAAATAGAAAAAGAAAAAAAAAACAAGAGGAGAGAAAAGATTTACAAACATTAACAAAACACTTTAAACAGGCAACAGCACAAGCAGTTCACTTTACTGTGAGTTGAGCTAAATGTCACATTAATAAAATACAAGCAATGTCTCTTATGAAGAAAGGAAAAGAAAGATTTACACTTACCTTTCACAAGCAAACCTTGTTGACTGTAATTGCTTACAATTGAGTGTATTTTATAGCCTGTCCGAACATAGAGACGGTCTCTCATTGGCTGACGTTGATGATGAAATTAGTCAATTTACCGCCAATCAGGTGCAGCAAGAACTTCATCTTGTCATGTGATCCAGCATCACAAGTATTCATCAATAGACTATGTTGATTCTTTATATTATTAGTAGACTGTAACAAGATTAAGGCAATCAGAAATGTTTTGTTATTTCCACAGTTTATAAAAATCAACATTTACAATACACAAGTGGAAAGCTTACTAGAATATGCAACACTTGATTGGGGGATGTATGTTTTTTTTTAGGTTTGTTTCAATCATTGTTTGTGTTTGTCACGTAAGGGTGTGTTTGACCAATCCCACATGTTTAGACAGAAAATAATCCAAGAGAAAACACAGAGTCCATTTAGAAAACTAAGCTTTTAAATTACATCAGGGGCTGCTGTTTTGTACTTACTCTAAATGCTAATAGCTTTCGTTCTAATTATTAAATATTGTTAATAATTTAGACTGAGGGCGACGCAGTGGTGCAGTAGGTAGTGCTGTCACCTCACAGCAAGCAGGTCACTGGTCCAAAGACATGTGGTACAGGTGAATTGTGTAGGCTTAATTGTCCATAGTGTATAAGTGTGAATGTGTATGGATGTTTCCCTTAGTTGGGTTGTGGCTGGAAGGGCGTCCGTTGCGTAAAAACGTGCGGGATAAGTTGGTGGTT